CAGGGAACACATTGGGGTAGAGCAAGGGGAGTGTCTGGGGCCCGCAACAGTCTCGGGATTGGTGCACTTCCGGCCTTGGGCAGCCCGTCCTGAGTGGTCAGCTGCAGCTGCAACTGCAGCCTGGTTGCTATGGCCTAGAAGCCCTCCCTGGGTGGTTGCTATGCTCTGCATTCCAGAGCCCGCCAGCTAGCTTCTGGTTGGTTCCCTGCCACACAGAGGCTATCTAGCTTCCTAGTGATTAGAAGGCGGGGCAAGGTCGGTCGGGGGCTCAGCACCTAAGCCTAGAGTCAGGGGCCTTTGTCTTGCTGGGTCTCTTCTGCAGCCTGTCATGGCCGCTAGCCCCTGGGTGAGCGGCTGCTGGTCCCCTCAGCTCTCTCTCGCTGAGCAGTCTCTCGTATCCTGTGGTGCTGAGACAGGCTGCGATGGATGAGGAGTTTGGCTGTGGAGGTGGGCACCTGTCAGACCACCTTGAGCTCAGTTTACCCACCGGCTCCTGTGTCTGCAGTGCGCCCCGGGCTACGAAGGACAGAACTGCTCCAAAGAACAGGACGCCTGTCGGTCTCAACCGTGCCACCACCAAGGGACCTGCACCCCCAGGCCTGGGGGTTTCCACTGCGCCTGCCCTCCAGGCTTTGTGGGGCCGCGCTGTGAGGGGGATGTGGACGAGTGTCTCGACCGGCCCTGCCACCCCACGGGCACTGCCGCCTGCCACTCCCTAGCCAATGCCTTCTATTGCCAGTGTCTGCCTGGACACACAGGTGAGGGCTGGGGTCTCCGGGGGACACAGCTGAGAGCAGGGAAACCCAGACAGCCCCCCCCTTTAACAGGCAGACTTCCCACCCTCTGCCTCCAACCTCACCCCCACCCCCACCACAGGCCAGCGCTGTGAGGTGGAGACAGACCCCTGCCAGAGCCAACCCTGCTCCAACGGAGGGTCCTGCGAGGTCACCACGGGGCCACACCCTGGCTTCACCTGCCACTGCCCCAAGGTAGGTGTTGCAACAACACCCATTTCTCTCTCTTCTCCCCACCCTGATGGAAGATAAGAAAACCAGAGCCAAAACCCTAGGGCGGTGGGGGGGGGCCGGGCATCGGAAATAGAACACCTGGAGAAAGCCCAAGTTCACCCTGGTTCTCAGAAACAGCGAAAGGCAGAGTCCGAGGGCAGCGCGATTGTCCCTGCCCTTTGGGAGGTCAGACGTGGGGATCACTGAGTTCAAGGTCATCCTTGGCCCAGTGACTTTCATTCAGTCTGGGCTACATGACACCATCTCAAAAAAATAGACACAACAAAGCCAAGCCTTCCTAGAGTAACTTTAGACAAGTTCTTTAAGCTGTATGAGGGGGACAGGTGTGAGGGGCTCATGGCAGGGCCTTGGGTTGTGACAACAGTCGTGCCTTCTTCCTTCGTTACCCTGTCGGTAACACTCACAAGCCAAACCCAGGAACCAAGACGGCAAACGCTTCCCTCTGCTCGTGCCCTCCCCCGCTCACCCTGGGAATGGAGAGGAGAGCTTGTGACGGTCTCCAAGGACGTCCCAGTCGGTGGTCCACTGCACTAGCCCACCAGTCTCACGGGCTTGGACCCTGACACGGAGCCTGGCCGCATAACCCCGCCCCTCACATTCCCGCCACACTGCAATATGCCAGTGTGTGGAGTTGGCAGGGGTTACAACTGCAGCATCCATTGCAATCGACTTGACGTTCTCCGAGGTGCCCTTGTAGATGACCGCCTGGAGCCCTCTGGGCAGGGTTATCCCAGGAATTTCTGACGCGGGTCCTCCCGTGTCCTCTCTTCTCTGCTGCAGGGTTTTGAAGGCTCCACCTGCGGCCGCAGAGCCCCTTCCTGTGGCATCCACCATTGCCACCACGGAGGCCTCTGTCTGCCCTCCCCTAAGCCAGGCTCCCCACCCCTCTGTGCCTGCCTCGGTGGCTTCGGGGGCCCTGACTGCCTGACACCCCCAGCTTCACAAGGTTGTGGGCCCCCCTCGCCCTGCCTACACAACGGTAACTGCTCTGAGACGCCCGGGTTGGGCAACGCTGGCTTTCAGTGCTCCTGCCCTCCCGACTCTCCGGGGCCCAGGTGTCAAAGGCCAGGGGCAGATGGCTGTGAGGGCAGAGGCGGTGATGGGGCTTGTGACGCTGGCTGCAGTGGTCCAGGAGGAGACTGGGATGGGGGGGACTGCTCCCTGGGGGTCCCAGACCCCTGGAAGGGCTGTCCCCCCCATTCCCAGTGCTGGCTTCTCTTCCGGGACGGACGGTGCCACCCACAGTGCGACTCTGAGGCGTGTCTGTTCGATGGCTATGACTGTGAGATCCCTCCAACCTGCACGTGAGTCTGGAGCCCGGGAATGAGGGGTGGGATGGGGCGGAGGTGAGGGGACACACGTGCCTGAGTTGATAGGACGGTGAGCTTTGGACTCCAGGGAGTCCCCATGCTAAGAAACACTCTGGGCTCCAACCCAGAGCCTTGGTCTGTACTCCCTGAGAGCTCCAAGGCCTTAGGCTTCAGCATCCCTCATCCAGACATCCTGTGGTAGAAAACCTCCCCTCAGCCGGGCGTTGGTGGCGCATGCCTTTAATCACAGCACTCGGGAGGCAGAGACAGGCAGATCTCTGTGAGTTCGAGGCCAGCCTCGTCTACAGAGCTAGTTCCAGGACAGCCTCCAAAGCCATACAGAGAAACCCTGTCTGGAAAAACCAAAAACAGAAAAAGAAAACCTCCCCTGGAAACCATCACTCCCAAAGAGGAAGGGGTCTAGGACCCTCTTTCTGGGAGGGGGGCAGGATGAAAGGTTGGCCTCAGGAGATGGTGTCAGTAGATTGTCAGGGGGTCTGGCCACCACCCTTAATCACCAGGGTGTCAGAGGCAGTAGCGGTCTATGAAGATGCCCGAGTCCACCTCTCCTCTACCCACAGCCCAGCCTATGACCAGTTCTGCCAAGACCACTTCCACAACGGCCGCTGTGAAAAAGGGTGCCACAGCGCGGAGTGTGGCTGGGACGGGGGCGACTGCAGGCCAGAAGGCGGAGACTCAGAGTGGGGGCCCTCCCTTGCCCTGCTGGTGGTGCTGAGCCCCCCAGCTCTGGATCAGCAGCTGCTGGCTCTGGCCCGAGTACTGTCCCTGACTCTGAGGGTCGGGCTCTGGGTGAGGAAGGACAGTGATGGCAGGGACATGGTGTTCCCCTATCCGGGGGCCCGGGCCAAAGAGGAGCTGGGCGGAACTCGGGATCCCTCTTCACGGGAAAGACAGGCCCCTCACACCCCGGGCAAGGAGGCAGACTCCCTTGGCGCTGGGTAAGCAAGAGACGGAGGGGAGGGCCGGGCATTAGTTACTTAAGGGGAGCCGGAGAAGGGGAGCAGGGGCTGAACAGGGGTCCCGGACGCGTCTTCTTTTCTCCAGGTTTGTGGTGGTGATGGGTGTGGATTTGTCGCGCTGTGGTCCGGAACACCCTGCATCCCGCTGTCCCTGGGACTCTGGGCTCCTGCTGCGCTTCCTGGCGGCGTTGGCTGCGGTGGGCGCCCTGGAGTCCCTGCTGCCCGGACCCTTGCTGGCTGCTCACCCTCAAGCAGGACCCAGTAGGTGATCCCCACCATTTCCCACGACCCGCGCTCATGCCCTCTCTGGTAGAGATCCAACTGAGAGCCCAAAATGTTCTGTGTGGGGGAGCTTGGCCTCGCTAACAGCTCTTTGAAATGAGTCTCCTTCTGGCTCATTCGTTCTTCCCTAAGAACTTGGTACTAACCTCTGGCGATAGTCCTGCTGCGGACCTTGGGTTCCAGTTCATAAAAGAACAGTAGCTATCACACATAGCCTAGCGTATCCCGTGGGCTCTCCCCTCTAAGCATTTTACCATGAACACATTAACTATGGGACAGACAGGTAAGGAAGCTGAGGCAGTCTCCTCCACTGGCCCCGTCTCACCAAGAAAGCTCCCCCTTTTGTGACCGTCTCTCCCCTGCCAGGGCCCCCTGTCAGCCAGCTTCCTTGGCCTGTCCTGTGTTCACCCGTGGCTGGGGTGCTTCTCCTGGCCCTTGGGGCTCTTCTGGTCCTCCAGCTCATCCGGCGGCGGAGGCGGCGCGAGCAGCAGCGGCGAGAACATGGAGCCCTGTGGCTGCCCCCTGGCTTCGTTCGAAAGCCTCGGACACAGCAGGCTCCCCATGGGCGGAGGCCCCCACTAGGCCAGGACAGCATAGGTCTCAAGTGAGGCTGGGGAGGGCCTGGGATTCGGGGAGGGGGGTGTCAAGAGTGCTAAGGAATTCTACTACAGAAGTGGGGGGGGGCTCCCCAGTGTTGGAGATGCCGGAGATGCCAGTTAGCCCTCACCTGTAGAACCCCTACCTACTCACCCCGTTCAGGGCGCTGAAGCCGGAGGCAGAAGTGGAGGAGGACGGAGTGGCCGTGTGCTCGGGCCCCGAGGAGGGAGAGGAGGTGGGTCAGGTTGCCGGGGAGTGGTGTGGAGGCGCTGGCAGCAGTGGGAAGACTCAGTGTCCTTCCCTCCTCTTCCTCTTATCCCAAGGCTGGAGAAACAGCCTCAGCCTCCAAGCGCCAGCTCTGGACACTGAACAGTGGCTGTGGAGAGCTCCCACGGGTGGCCGCCATGCTGACACCTCCTCAAGAGTGTGACGTGGAGGCTCAGGACATGGACACTTGTGGACCTGGTACACAACCAACCTAGATCCCCCCAAAAAAATCCTTCCTATCTCTGACCCTTTTAGAGGCAAAACCCACGAGTATCCTAACTGAAGCCTTTAGAACAGCGGCTCTCACGGCGGGGACCCGGGACACAGCAGAGCTCTCAGGAATACAAACTCAAAACTCTCAGCAAGCTGGGGCACGGGGTAATCTAACCAGCCCTGTGACTAAGGTTCAAGACTGAGAACCTTTGAAAATTAAATCCTTCCTGCCCCTGCTCCTAATGAAACACTAAATCAAGGCGGAGTGGCGCCCGCCTTCAATCCCAGCACTCAGAAGGCAGAGGCAGGTGGATCTCTGTGAGTTCAAGATCAGCCTGGTTTATTGAGTTCCAGGGCAGCCAGGGCTACATAGTGAGACCCTGTCTCAACACCGGCCCCCACCACCACCCTCTGCCCCCCAAAGAGGCAGAGCTTGTCTTCTTCTGGCTGTAACTCTCCCCGAGGTCGTTATTCTTGTGTTCTTTCTGATTGGCCTTGTACTCATCCTCACCCACAGATGGGGTGACACCCCTGATGTCCGCAGTCCTCTGTGAGCGAGTGGAGTCCACCATTGTCCAGGGACCGTGGCTGGGAAATCCTGAGCCCTGTGAACCACTGCTGGATGGAGGGGCCCGCCCCCAGGCTCACACCGTGGGCACTGGAGAGACACCCCTGCACCTGGCTGCCCGATTCTCTCGGCCAACTGCAGCCCGCCGCCTCCTTGAGGCTGGAGCCAACCCCAACCAGCCTGACCAGGCAGGGCGCACCGCACTTCACACTGCAGTGGCTGCCGATGCTCGGGAAGTCTGCCAGGTCAGCACACACTGGGGTCCCCGACAGGAAGCAGGAGTAAATGTGCAAGTAAAACGGACAGGTCTTCTCTAGGGAAGTTTCTAGAGGAAACGGAGACCGGAGACCTTGAAAGGGGAAGGTCTGGCAGGCAGTGACCTGGAGAAGGGGGCTCAAGAGCCTAGCATTTAAATCCCAGCCCTGGGGAGGCAGAGGCAGGCGGATCTCTTGAGTCCCAGGCTAGCCTGGGCTGTATAGTGGGATCAAAACCAAAACAGACAACAAAATCACGAGGGCCCTGACCTAGAAGGCCAGGGTTACCCGGGGGGTGGGGGTGGGGATATCCACAGGCCCTTGTCTGTCTCCCCAGCTCCTACTGGCCAGCCGACGGACGGCTGTGAATGCACGCACAGAGGACGGGACTACGCCCCTGATGCTGGCTGCCAGGCTGGCAGTGGAGGACCTGGTTGAAGAACTGATCGCAGCCCGAGCGGATGTGGGAGCCAGAGATAAAAGGGGTAATGGCTGGCTGGAGCCCGGGGTGCTATCGAAAAGTGGGCAGGGCGGGAACGAGGTGAGGTTCACACAGCTGGCGCAAGCCGGGACAGACTAGAGGATGCCCCACCTACGCCGAGGTATGGAGAGCGAGTTTCTCCCTTCGCCGTCCACGGCAGCAATATCCTGCCTCAGTCCCACGAAACGGGACCGGGATAACCCCGGGTCCCACCGCTCCAGGACAATACCCATTGTCCCTCCCGCGCGCGCGCGCGTGTGCGCGCCGGTGACATCACCAGGGCAACGCTCGCGGCCCACCGCCGGTTGCCGCGGCAACCGCTTCCCGCCTGCGAGGAACCCGAGGAGCTCTCCCCTTCCTCTCCCTCCCCGGGCCAAGGCCGGAACCCGTGGAAAACCAGAACGCGGGAGCCCGTCCGTCCGTCCCCCACCTGCGGGGATAACCGGCTCCCACGTGGTACCCTAGGGAAAACCGCCCTGCACTGGGCCGCTGCTGTGAACAACGCCCGAGCCGCCCGCTCCCTCCTCCAGGCTGGAGCGGATAAAGACGCCCAGGACAGCAGGGTGAGCCTCTGGCCGCGGATCCTTCCCCCTAACCCAGCCGAACGAGCCAGGAGCGCGAGAGGGAATCCAGCAAGCTCAAAGGGGGCGGGCCCAGCGTCGGGTGGGCGGGGACTGACACCCGGTGGGCGGGGACTCTCTGACCGCCCCCCCCCTCGCGCGCCCCGCAGGAGCAGACGCCGCTCTTCCTGGCGGCGCGCGAAGGAGCCGTGGAGGTGGCGCAGCTGCTGCTGGAGCTCGGGGCGGCCCGAGGGCTGCGGGACCAGGCCGGGCTGGCCCCGGGAGACGTGGCCCGCCAGCGAAGCCACTGGGACCTGCTGACGCTGCTGGAGGGGGCGGGGCCGCCCTCGCAGGAGGCACGCACGCACGCACGCACCGCTGCTGGAGGGGGCGGGGCCGCGCCGCGCTGCCGGACGCTGTCGGCGGGAGCGCGCCCGCGCGGGGGCGGAGCCTGCCCGCCCGCCCGCGCTTGGTCGGTGGACTTGGGGACGCGCCGGGGCGCGGCCTACGCGCGCTGCCGGAGCCGGTGCTCAGGTTCCGCCGTCCCTCCCTCGAGCGGCCGCAGGTTTTCCGCGGGCTCCCGTGGTGGGCGACGCGGGGCCGGGGCATCCCAGGATGACTGGCCTCGCGACTGGGTGGCCCTGGAACCCTGCGGCTCTGCCCGCAGGGCGCCCATCCCGCCCCCCAGCCTGACCCCGTCCCCAGAACACGGATCCCCTCAAGTTGCCTGGGGTCTTGCAGTCCACCAAGAGGTGCCCTTAAACTCGGGTGCAGAGAATCAGAAGTAGGAGGCTGCACCGAGGGAAGGAAGTGACGGGCAGCCTGGAGGACTCCGGACTTAACAAGCAGCGTGGTGCTTCCTTGTGCGTGCTCCCCGTTGAGTGTGCACGGCACCCGGCGAGAGGGTTTAGGATGCCCGAGTGACTGCATGCCGGGCTTCTCCCGGAAAATAGAGCGGCTACAAGAGGGCAAAGTGAACTCCGAGGATCCCTCAACGGGGACCAAGAACTGCGGGCAAACTGGGTGTAAAATGTTTGTTTCTTGCGTATGGTTTCCCAAAGGAAGCCTCTGGTACCGGCTGCCCACTAAGTAGCCGGCAAATATTTATTGAGCACCTGCTATGTGCTGGGCGTTGCGTAGACGATGAAATGTAGCCAGCGGCGCCTCCAGCTGATGACTCCTTGCCCTACCTCTGCCATCCTCCCCCCCCAGGAAAAGTGATGCAGGGATGAGGCCTTCCCCTCTAGCTACTGCTATCTCTAGGAACCCCAAACTCATGAACAATAAAAGCTGATTTAAAGTGTTACTTTGTCTGTGGAGCTGGACAGCGCATAGTGTTTGGGAAATTGAGTATCCTAGGTTTATCCCTAACGGTAGGGGGGGCTTTTAGATACAAATGAAGAGTAAACGATCTGGGGGGGGTCCTAGTTCATTTGGGATATCATCTGAAAGCTAGAATCTGTGACACTCAACTATGCAAGGTGATATATACGGTGCCCCTCATCCTTGGGCATCGAGATTCCTAAGGTCTTGGACTTGAACTTCGTCCTTATGGCTTTATCCCAACCCTGATAATCCTGCAAGGCCAGAGAGCATTCTGGAAGATTATCAGTCACCATTTACAGAGTATCCCAAGTGCCTCACAATTAACCCTCCCCGAAGGGCGGTGGTGGCACACACCTTTAATCCTGGCACTCAGGAGGCAGTAGCAGGCGGATCTCTGTGAGTCCGAGGCCAGCCTGGTCTTCGAGTTCCAGGACAGCCTCCAAAACAATACAGAGAAACCCTGTCTGAAAAACCAAAAACACAATTAACCCTCCCCAATCCTGAGGTAAGTTAAGTGCCAATAAGGGCCATTTTTTACCCTGTCACAAATGGAGGCACAGAGGTTTCATTCACGCCCCTAGCCATAACATCACATGGCAGGCGGGAAGCCATCTGAAGACTCCAGATGTCTGTCCTCCTCCTCCTGGGGCTAACCAGAACTGGCCAAAAGCCAAACTAAGTTCTGTGTTCCTCTCTCATGACCCCAGGCAAGTCTTCTCTGGCCTTTTGTCTAGCTCAGCTTCCAGGGGAGCGTGGTTTTTTTTTTTTTTCTTTCTCACACTTGGTTCACTCAAGTCCCCTCCTCTGCTTGTGATGCTGGAGGGCAGTGAACAGAACTCAGCAAACCAGTCCCTGACTACTTCCCTGTGTGACGGGGCCGGTGTTAGGACATAAGCTTGTGTCTGAGACCCTGCCTCCCTCTAGAACCCCCTGCCTTTCCCTGGCCCAGTAGGTCAAGAGGAGGTGAGAAGGCCCAGCTCCCCTCAGGATCAGTCTTGGGGAGGGGAGAAACCTAGTTTGGGGGAGGGGGATCCCAAAAACTGAAACCACTTCCTGTGTTGTCGCTGGTTCCGGTGTTGACAGAGAGGAGCTGAGCTGAGCTGGGGATGGAGCGGGCAGTGTGGCAGGCTAAGGGGGTTCCTGCGGCTCTGGAAGTGAGCGGGCCGGGAGTCTGCCCCCGTCAGGAGCCCGCCCGCCCGACTCCCGCCGCTGGGCTTCGTCCCAGTCTCTGTCCTCCCCAGGGCCAAGAGAGGTCAAAAGAGCTGTTGGGGTGGGAAAAAAGAGAATGGAGGAAGTTGACAGAGATGGGCGGGGCCCATGGGGGGGCTGACCAGGAACCCAACTTCCTGCTCAGTACCCAGGCATCCAGCCCCCAGCTCACCCCCACCCCTTCCAGCCCCCATTCCCCCGCAGGAACCCAGGGTTCCGGCCCTCCTTCCAAATTCCAGCCACCCCTCCCCCAGCAGCGCCTCTCCCCCTCCCCCCCAGTCCAGGGATGGAGGCTGAAAGACCCCGGGAAGAGGAGGATGGTGGGCAGCAGGTGAGCTGGGTCTGCCGGGCGGGGAGGCCAGCAAGGGAGGAGGGGCACGTGAGGACCTGACACGGGACACCTGGGAAGCTTGGGCACACCAAGGCAGGGACAGAAACACAGGGGCGATGGTCACTGGCCCAGCCCTCTGCCCACACCGTCTGCCCCCCCCATCTGACTGGAACGGACCTGTCCTGGCATCAGGGTCCCCCGCACGATGATCAGGGCTGGCCCCCTGTGAACGCCACCACTCGGCCTTGGCGATCTGCTCCTCCCTCCCCGCCTCCTCCAGGAACCCGCCACGCAGGTAGGTACCCCACCAACCCTGGGAGATCCAGGCTACCCCCGGGGTAGGCTCGCTGACCTCACCTGCCCACCTGCTGGTCTGTCTGACCGTCGGCTCACCTGCCCCCACCCCTCGCCTCTCCACTCTGCCGTCGCCTCTGGGTCTTAGCCCTGCTCCCTCCTCCCCCATAGCCCTGGGGCCCCGTTCGGGCTCCCTGCTCTCCCTGCAGACAGAGCTCCTTCTGGACCTGGTGGCTGAGGCCCAGTCCCGCCGCCTAGAGGAACAGAGGGCCACTTTCCACACCCTTAAGGTCCCCACGAGCCTAGCCCCAACCCCACCCAGGCTTCTTGAGGACAAAGAACAGCTCTACAGCACCATACTTAGTCACCAGGTAAGGAAGACTTATACCACCCCCACCGCCGCTGGCATTGTTTCAGCCCTAACTACTACTACTACTACTTATTATTATTATTATTATTGGGGGGGTCGAGACAGGGTTTCTCTGTGTGGCTTTGGAGGCTGTCCTGGAACTCACTCTGTAGACCAGGCTGGTCTCGAACTCACAGAGATCCGCCTGCCTCTGCCTCCCGAGTGCTGGGATTAAAGGCGTGCGCCGCCGCCACCACCACCGCGAGGCTTCGGCCCTAACTTCTTTCTCCCTAACACACACACTCACACACACACACACTCACACACACACACACACACACACACACACACACACACACACGCCGTCTCTTGGCCAACCCCCACTCCCCTCAACACCACCACAGATTTCCCACTGCCCTGCACCAGCCCCGGCCCTGTTCCCCAAAGCCGCCGCCGCCGCCACCCGACCGCCAACGCTCTTCCTCTCCCTCCGCATCTCTAGTGCCAGCGGATGGAAGCCCAGCGGTCAGAGCCGCCGCTGCCCCCCGGGGGTCAGGAGCTCCTGGAGTTGCTGCTGCGAGTTCAGGGTGGAGGGCGAATGGAGGAGCAGAGATCCCGGCCCCCTACACACAGCTGCTGAGACCCGAGCTCCCCGGCCAGCCAGCCAGCCCTTCCTCTCCGGGACTCAGAGCTGGGCCGCCACCACCCACCCCACCCCCGCAAGCCTTCACCCCTGCGTGGCAGGGGTGCCAGAGACTGAAGACCCATTTTCACCCCCCCCCCAGGGAGCTGGACTTGGGGCCACTACTCTAACCTCGGACGTGAGCGAGGCAGGGTGGACACGGCTCCCTGGGGCAGTTTCAGAGTCCCCTACCCTAGGCGGCCAGGCTACTCCCCAGGGCGTGAGGACTGCGGCCTGGCCCCTTCCCTGCCCAGTAAGGGGGAGAAGGGGGGAACGATTAAGACAACGAACGGCCCAGCACTCGCACCCCCAAGGCCGAGGGGCCGCCCCCCCAGGCTGGGAAGCGACCCCGAGCCCCACCCACCCACACCCCCACCCCTGCTGCCGCGTCTGTCTTGATGTTTTGGTTGTACGAATAAACTTAACTCCCCTCTGGACCGAGGAAACCGGTGTCTGGGGTGCGCAAGGTGGGCAGGTGAGGCCCGGGGCAGCCGCTCTCCCCCGCGATCTGGCCGGAGGCCAGGTCCCCCTCCCTGGCTGCTTAATTACTGGCTCATTAAGCGGCGGCTGGAGACCTCCCTAATCGCCTCCCCCAGCCCCCAGTCTCCCGGTTTTAATTAAGTCGAAACAGGGAGGGGAGTCATTAGGACAAGAAATATGAACCGAGCTGTCGGAGGGCATTCCTGAGGCCCGAGTCCGCGCCACCCCGACGGTGGGCTCGGCGGAACCCAGGTGGCCCACACCCCCCGCCCCGCCCCGCCCCGCCCCGCCCCGGGGCCGGCTCTCCCGGGCCCGCCCGGCCGCTCCCCGCCTCCACCCGCCGCCGCCGCCCTCCCGCCCGGCCGGCCTGCGTCTCCCCGCCCCCGGCTCCTCCCCGTTCCTCCTCCGCTCCCCTCCTCTTCCTCCCGCTCCCCTCCCCCAGCCGCCTCCCTCGCTCCCCTGCTCCCTCCTCCCTCCTCTCGCACACACACACCCCCGCTTGGGCCTCCTCTCTCTCTCCTCTCTCCCTCTCTCTCCCCGGCTCCATTTTCTCCGCCGCCGGGGGCCGGGGTCTCCTGTGGGGGGTGCCCAGGCGGCACCCCAGGTCTCCGCTCCAGTGCCGGGGTGAACCCCCCGGAGGGAGCCGGGAGGCGGGTTGCCGGGCGGGGTTGGGGCGGAGGGAGCAGCGGCCCCGGCGAGTTTGGGGAGGGAGGGGAGGGAAGTCACCGGCGGCGGCGGGGGGGAGGGGCGAGCAGGGAGGGGGCCTCAGGGCCCCCCCCAGCTATGGACGAGCGGCTACTGGGGCCGCCCCCTCCGGGCGGGGGCCGGGGGGGCCTGGGGCTGGTGGGTGGGGAGCCTGGGGGCCCTGGCGAGCCTCCCGGGGCCGGAGACCCCGGCGGGGGCAGTGGGGGGGTCCCGGGAGGCCGAGGGAATCAAGACATCGGGGACATTCTGCAACAGATAATGACCATCACCGACCAGAGCCTGGACGAGGCCCAGGCCAAGTGAGTGCCCCCACCCCGGGACCCTGCTCACAGCTCGGGAGTCCTCTGCGAGCCCCCCCTCCTCCTTCCCTCCCCCCCAGGGCCCTCTCTGGATCCCGCAACTCTTTTCTTTCCTTAGTTCTAGCGGGCTCTCAAAGCTGGCTTTGCTCCTAGGCCCTGAAACCTCGCAGAGGGAGCCCTAGCCGGTCTCGCTGCCTCCTAACCTTTTGCTGACCCCTATGCTCGCACCGGCCCACCTCCTGGCTCCCAGACTTAGAAACTGTCAGCCGACCTGTCTGCCCTAACTATCCGGCTCACCCACCCCATTCTCTAGGGACCCAGGATCTCCACACACTCCCTTCCACCGTGGTGGGGGGGGGGGCTCCAGAAGTCTTCTCTGCCTTCCCCTCTGCCCAGCCCACACACTCTGCTGAACTCCCAGGTCGGAGGGGACACCACCCACCACCCCTGCCACCCTGCACTGACTGTTCCTTCGCGGCCTGGCCTCTATTTACCTCACTCCAGAACCTCCCAGAGTCACCTTCATTTCTTCAACCGTCTCCAGATCCTCTCTCCGCCTTTTGGCTTGGGCCCTGTCTCCCTTAGCCTCAGCCCGCCCATAGTGACTTTAGCCCCATTGCCTGCTTCTTCTACCTCCAGAGGCCCAGCCGCGTCCAGGAGCCACGGACGGCCCGGGCCGGCCACTGGTCTCTCCTCAAGAACTAACCCTCCAACTCCATCCCGTCCCCCACCCCCGTTCCGACTTCCCACCTCCACAGATTTATGCCCCCACCCTGTTCCCTGGCACCCTTCCCTCTCCTCTCTCCTGGCCCCTGAACTCTTCTCCTCCTGTTCCTCCTGAAGGAAACATGCCCTAAACTGTCACCGAATGAAGCCTGCTCTGTTCAGTGTCCTGTGTGAAATCAAGGAGAAAACCGGTACGTGGGTGCCCCCCCCCGCCGCTTCTCACCTCTGGGAACTGGACTCCGCCTGCTCCGGGCCTTCAGAGTTTGAAGCCATGAGGAAAGGGAGAGACCCAGGGAGGCTGCTCGGAAGGGAGTGGGGGAAGGAAGCAAAGCCTGGAGGCCTGGGCCTTCCTTCAGGAAGGCTGGAACACTGGGAGAGGGGCACCCGGGGGCCTCACGCCCCGCTTGCCCATCCGCTAGGCCTCAGCATCCGGAGCTCCCAAGAGGAGGAGCCGGTGGACCCGCAGCTCATGCGTCTGGACAACATGCTCCTGGCAGAAGGTGTGGCTGGACCGGAGAAAGGGGGGGGCTCCGCGGCAGCCGCCGCGGCCGCGGCCGCCTCCGGAGGCGGCGTGTCCCCCGACAACTCCATCGAACACTCGGACTACCGGAGCAAGCTCGCCCAGATCCGCCACATCTACCACTCGGAGCTGGAGAAGTACGAGCAGGTGAGGAGAGGAGGCGGCCCAGGAGCCAGGGACTTGCCCGAGGCACAGCCCCCCCCTCACCAGCCCGCCCGCCCCAACAGGCGTGCAATGAGTTCACGACCCACGTCATGAACCTGCTGAGGGAGCAGAGCCGCACGCGTCCTGTGGCCCCCAAGGAGATGGAGCGCATGGTGAGCATCATCCACCGCAAGTTCAGCGCCATCCAGATGCAGCTGAAGCAGAGCACCTGCGAGGCGGTCATGATCCTGCGCTCTCGCTTCCTGGATGCCAGGTGGGGCTCAGGGACCCCTGAGCCTGGCCCCCGGTAACCTGGCTCCCCCACACCTTCTCCAGGACCACCGGGCTTCCACGTTGCCCACCGGGCGCGCTGAGACGATGATGCTTTCCTGGAGTTTTCTCTGGCGCGCTCAACACCTTCCCTCTCTCTTTGCAGGCGGAAACGCCGCAACTTCAGCAAACAGGCCACCGAGGTCCTGAATGAGTATTTCTACTCCCACCTGAGTAACCCTTATCCTAGTGAGGAGGCCAAAGAGGAGCTCGCCAAGAAGTGCGGCATCACTGTCTCTCAGGTACTCCGGGGTGGGGGGGGAGGCTGGCGGATGGCGGGGCGGGGTAAGGGGCTGAGAGTTCTCAGATGTTGCTTTGGGGCGGGGGTCCTGGAGAAAGGGGTTCTGCCTGACCCTCTCTGCCCAACCCTGCAGGTTTCCAACTGGTTTGGTAACAAGCGGATTCGCTACAAGAAAAATATTGGGAAGTTCCAAGAGGAGGCGAACATCTATGCAGTGAAGACGGCTGTGTCAGTCGCCCAGGGGGGCCACAGCCGCACCAGCTCCCCGACGCCCCCTTCCTCGGCAGGTGGGGCCCACTGCCATCCTAGCTGTAGATAGCAAAGAGGACTTTGGGGGGGCGGCTGAAAGATCAGGGGCGATGAGTCAGGGGAGGGGCCCTTAGTAGCGGGTGGTCAGGGAAGGCTCAGAGTAGCCTGGCCTGAGTGTGGGACCGTGGGTAATCCTGTATGCACTTCTCCGTGGGCATTCCCAGGGAGTTAGCTTTCTGAAAGCTAAGGGTCGTGTTCCTCTCCTGTCTACCGTCAGATGGTCCCTTAATGCTTTCCTCTAATCTTCTCTCCGCTCTCCCAAGGCTCTGGCGGCTCTTTCAACCTCTCAGGATCCGGAGACATGTTTCTGGGGATGCCCGGGCTCAACGGAGATTCCTACTCTGCCTCCCAGGTTAGGAGCCCCACCTCTCTTCTCCCCCCCCCGTGAGCACAATGGGGCAGCAGGCACGTGGGCCACCACAACTTTGTGGGGTCAGTTGGCGCCTGCCTTTAGGTCGGTTCTGGGAGCCAGAACCAGACGGCCCAGGCTTTGGCGACAGGCACCTTTACCTGCTGAGCTGTCTGTGGCCCCACCAGCAAGCGTGCAAGGCCTGGCCTAAGGCTTCCGTGCGTGCGTCACGTCAGGCCTCTCTTTGTGCCCTGCAGGTGGAATCGCTCCGACACTCCATGGGGCCAGGGAGCTACGGGGATAACCTCGGGGGAGGCCAGATATACAGTCCACGGGAAATGCGGGTGAGTGGGTCACTGGGCCCCCGCAGCCTCTGACTTTCTTCGGCTCTCACCGGGACCGGAGTGTGATCCCTACACCCGGGGGTGGGGGTCTCCTCTGTTTCTGACTTCTCAATTCTCTCTTTCCCAGGCCAATGGCGGCTGGCAGGAAGCTGTGACCCCGTCCTCGGTGACATCCCCAACAGAGGGACCTGGCAGTGTTCACTCTGACACCTCCAACTGACCTTGCCCCTCAAGGTCACAGGGCTTGGGGGCTGGCTTCCCAACCAGGCAACTCTTGAAGAGGACTTGGGCATCTAATGGACAAACCCCCCCCATGGAAGCACAAAGCAGAGAAGGGCGAAATGGGGTCGTGCCCTCCCCAGCCAGACGCTCAGTGCTGGGGTGCTGACTACATGGCAGGGAAAGTGGGGTGTCCCCCTTTTTTCTCTCTTTCTGTCTTTTTCCCTCTCACGCAGAAAACAGATATCTGTTTCTCAGATCTCTCTTTCTCAAGTCTACACCAACGCTCAACTATTCCGTTTGTGTCTGGGCCTCCCTAGTTTCCGTTCGCCCACCCCACTTAAATACTCTGGAATCTGGAGACATCAGCCATGCCCAACCCAGAGATGCCAAAAATGGGGACTCCTCCCGGACAGAGGCCCTGGGCCAACCACCCAACCCCACCCCACCCCCTTCTGCCCCTCCAGACGGCTTTATTACCTCATACGCAGCTCATCTTAAACCAATAGAATCGCTCGGTGGACAGGAGTGTCTGACTCAGTTATCTACCTCGGAGGGAGTGTCTGCTACTTTAGGAAATTGTTGGCTGGGCTTCGGAGTTGTTTTTGTGGTTTTTGTTTTGTTTTGTTTTGTTTTTGGAAAAAAAAAAAACCCTGGGATCTGTATTTTTTTTATTGTGTTTGTTGGTAGTGGCGATCCTTAATTTTTAATAGTTTGAAGAAGTAGGGATTTGGTGTGTGTGGTTTTGGGTTTTGTTTTGTTTTTTAATAAACGGATTTATTTTTGTTTACCCACGTGAGAAGTAAGAGCCAAAGGGGCCCAGCAAGAACAAACAGCTGGTGGTGGCTACTTGCTCCAGGCCTGCCGCAGGGAGGTGGATCGTGCAGGACACCACGTCCTCACCCTGGTCCTTATGTGTTCCCGCTTGAACAAGCAAGCCTCTGCCATATCGACGCAGAGCGTGACGCCCCTCTAGCCTCCTGCCCCCCCCCCCAGTAACCTTTGGGCAAGGTGGACAGGAACTCGATGCTTTTTCTTTTTTTTTGGTTTTTCGAGGCAGGGTTTCCCTGTATTGTCTTGGAGCCTGTCCTGGAACTCGCTCTGTAGACCAGGCTGGCCTTGAACTCACAGAGATCCGCCTGTCTCTGCCTCCCAAGTGCTGGAATTAAAGGCGTGCGCCACCAACGCCCGGCTTCGATGCTTTTTTTAAAAAATTTTTTTTCTTTTTAAACTACTTGCAGAGTGGAGAAGAATGAATTGGGAGGGTGTTCTCGCCAAATACGCTAAATGTGGGCTGGGTGCTAATGTGTGTGTGTCCCCCCTCCCCCAGTTTCCCTGAAATAAGTGTTTCTTTTTTTTTTTTTCTTTTTAATCTCATGCCAAAATAATCAACGGGGTGGGGAGAAGAGGGAGGCCACAGAGCTCCCAAGTATGAGAGAAGGTATAAAACACCCCCCTGTCTCATCCCAGCCCGGAACCCTTCTATCTGGCCCCCTGGAACGTCCTCAGGCTCTTCAAGACTGTCGCAGTGGGACCCTCCCCCATCACAGACCCAGGCAGGACTGAGTGACCAGAGGCTGCTGGGAGGCAGGGGCCAAGGGCAATTCTCTTCTCACTTGTAAACTTGGAGATTCAGAGGAAAAAAAAAATGCAGTTTTAAATAAAGAGATTTCTTTTTTCCCTGGGTTTAGTTGAGAATTTTTTTAAAAAAGAAAAACAAACAAAAAAAAACAAACACTGGACTCCCCCCCCAAAAAAATAAAAGAACAACTCTTACAAAACCCCAACAGGTTTCTGTCCTGTCTTCACTACAAAGATGCCAGGATGGCAACAGACCAGGCTGTACCATGTTACCTAGCAATCTGCCTCCCCCCCCCAAGATGGAGCAATAGCGAGCCCTCCGCCTGGGACTGACGGAACATGGTGGGCTGGGAGTGGGAATGAGACCCTTAGCGGTGTACAACCCCCTTCCCAGAGAGGCTGTGCCCTGGGGTGGGGTGATACTGCTGCTTCTAGTACCTGAAGGACTCTTGTCCCATGTAGGCATGAATTCCTGGCATTCTCTGTGCCAGGGACAAGAAGGGAGATGGGGGAAGGGCAGAGGGGACAAGCTCCACCTAGGGCAGTGTCCACAGCAGTTGGAAAGGGGCAGACAGAACCCGGAGCCTGGGAAGAAAGCATGACGCCAAGAGAGGCAGTGGCGGGAACCTGGGTGCTGGCCCTTGCTCTGTGGGGTGAGCCGCTCCCAACTCCCAATGACCCTACCCCTTAGCAGCCCAGCTCCCGTCTTCCCCAGGACCCCCCTCCTCCCTAGACATCTCCTGGGATCTGGGCACCGCTTTTCAAAGCCCCCTCACCCCACCCTGCCCCTACCACTCACTAGCTCCCGCCTCTCCCCTTCTGCCACCCGGCCACCCCGCCACCCCCATGCTACCCACCACCCAGGAGCTGTAGTTGGTGGTCAGAACATCACAGCCAGGATTGGAGAGCCGCTGGTGCTGAGCTGTAAGGGGGCCCCTAAGAAACCACCCCAGCAGCTGGAATGGAAACTGGTAAGCGCTACTCCCCACTTGGCCGCTCAACCTCAGGAGCCATCCTCGAGGGTCCTCAGCACCCCTCCCGTCCGGTCAGCCCTTCCCCAAGGAGCCTGGACCACTTAGGCTTTTCTCCTCTTGCAGAACACAGGCCGGACGGAAGCTTGGAAGGTCCTGTCTCCTCGAGGAGGATCCTGGGACAGTGTGGCTCAAATCCTCCCCAACGGTTCCCTCCTCCTTCCAGCTATTGGAATTGTGGACGAGGGGACTTTCCGGTGCCGGGCGGTAAACAGGCACGGAAAGGAGGTCAAGTCCAACTACCGTGTCAGAGTCTACCGTAAGGGTTCCGTGGCATTGGCTAAAGTCACTTTTCGTTAAAGTCTTCCTTCACCCCCCAGCCCCTTGACTCTTGGCCCCGGGTGTATGTGGACCTCTGATCCCCCCACCGCCCTGGTTCCCACGCCTGGAGCCCACGCCTGGAGTGCGAGAACCCTCAAAGGGCAGTTTTCTGATTGGATCTTTCCCGGCAGAGAATCCTGGGAAGCCAGAAATTGTGGACCCTGCCTCTGAACTCACAGCCGGCGTCCCTAGTAAGGTACAGAGCAACAGAAGACAGGAAGGGAACTTCGAAGACAGTGCCTCCCACACAGTCAGAGGGTGAGGTCTCCATCTTTTCCTCCAGGTGGGTACCTGTGTGTCGGAGGGAGGCTACCCTGCCGGGACCCTTAGCTGGAAGTTGGACAAGAACCCCCTGATTCCTGACGGCAAAGGTGAGTCCTGTGTGCCCCGCACCCAACTGCCTTTTTCCTGGCTGTCCTCCCACACGCGATCCTGGGAGCTTTGACTCTGTCCCACCCCACTGCAGGGACAATCGTGAGGGAGGACACCACGAGACACCCCGAGACAGGGCTCTTCACGCTGCAGTCCGAGCTGACGGTGACCCTGGCCCCAGGGGGGGCCGCCCGTCCTACCTTCTCATGCATCTTCAGCCTGGGCCCTCCCCGGCAGCACAGTCCCTCGAACACAGTCTCCATCCAGCTCCGTGTCAAGGGTGTGTGTGGGGGGGGCTAGTCTGACTGTGTGGGAGGCAGGGGTCAATCCCAGGGTCATCGGCCTGCTTCCCGGTCGGCTGACGGACCTCACTCACGCTCACCCCCCCGTGCCTCCAGAGGGGATCCAGCTGTTGGTTGAGCCAGAAGGTGGGGTAGTCGCTCCTGGTGGGACAGTGACTCTGACCTGTGTCATCCCTGCTCGGCTCCCGCCTCAGATCCACTGGGTGAAGGATGTGAGTGGCCTTGGAAGGGATGGGAAGCCGTTGACAGGAGTTGGGCTGAGGACACAGACTGTTTGGCTGTGGAAACTGAAGGCAGGAGTCCAGGATGTGCGGACCAGGGGTTCTTTGATCTGCCTGCTTCTGCCTCCCCGAGTGCTGGGATTGAAGGCCTGTGCCACCCGGGGCTCTTAACCATCTCCTGCGCCTCCTTCCCCACCAGGGTGCACCCCTGCCCCTTGCCACCAGCCCTGTGCTGCTTCTCTCTGAGGTTGGGCACAAGGATGAGGGCATCTACAGCTGTGTGGCCAACCATCCTAGCCATGGGCCGCAGGAAAGTCCCCCTGTCAGCGTCAGCATCTCAGGTAACTCTCCCCCACCCCCCACTCGGAATTCCGGGACCCTGGGGATGAGGCGAGGCCCACCACGTGCCAACTCCCTACCCTACTCAAACACGGTCCCCAAGAGATAAGCCACCCCTCCCTCAGTGCCCCCAACACCCAGGCCTCCTCAGCTCCACCACAATCCTGTCAGAAGTCCATCCTGCCCACTAACTGAAGGGAGACACCACTGGGCCTCCTACCGGGCAGCCCCACCCAAGCTCAAGTCTCCTCTCAGACCACTCTTTGTCTTCCAGAAGAAGCAGGCGAGGAGGGGCCCGCTGCAGGTGAGGGGCTGGACTAAAGCCAGAGGGAGGCGTGCGGTTGCCGCCTGTGACTGGTGTAGAGCCGGCCGAGTGGTGTGAGGAGCAGTGCCCTCAATCTACCCTGTGTCCGTCCCTACAGGCTCTGTGGGTGGGGCCGGGCTGGGAACCCTAGCCCTGGCCCTGGGCATCCTGGGAGGCCTGGGAGTAGCCACCCTGCTCGTTGGGGCCATCCTGTGGAGAAAACGGCAACCCCGAGGAGAGGAGAGGTGAGTGAAAGACACTCGACTGGGGGGGGGGGCTCCCAGGCAGCAAGTGAGAGCTGTCAGAGTGGGCCAACAGAAGGGCTGGAATACAGCCGGCCTGGCGGTGGTGGCACACGCCTTTAATCCCAGCACTCGGGAGGCAGAGGCAGGCGGATCTCTGTGAGTTCGAGGGCAGCCTGGTCTACAGAGCGAGTTCCAGGACAGCCTCCAAAACAGTACAGAGAAACCGTCTTGAAAAAAACAAAAAAAACAAAAAAAAAAAGGGGGGGGCTGGACTACTGTCCTTTCTCAGGAAGGCCCCAGGAAACCCGGAGGATGAGGAGGAGCGAGCAGAGCTGAATCAGTCAGAGGACGCTGAAGCAGCAGCGGAGAACGGTGCGGGACGACCTTAGCCCAGGCTGGACCTCGTCTGCCAGCTCCTTCTCGCCCGCTCGCGCCTCCCTGAGTTGTGCTGGCCCCATGACCAGCTCCCCGTGTGCCATCCCTTTCCCGCCTCAGAACACTTCTGCCGCCAGAGCCCACCCAACCCGTGCTGAGTAAACACCTGACACCTGTTGCCTACTCCCTCCTCGTCGTGTCTGAGAGAAGCAACCTCACCTCTGCGTCCCTGGCAGCCCTGCAGGGGAGGGGCTCCCTCCAGGCCTCCCACCACACCAAGCATCTATTCGAGCCGGACGGACGGGAGAGGGACCTGTCCTGGAAGGAGGGAAGGATTCCCAACAATATATTTCTTTTTTTTTTATTATTCTTATTATTATTGAATCTGTAATAAAGGAGGTAGCGAAGGGTGGAAAGGAGACATTTAGAGTTCAGACCTCGTATTAAGACAGTGGGGAGAGGAAAATTAAATTAAATCAACAAGTGGAGGAGTCAGGGGAAGCCCACCTTTAAACATCGAATCAAGAAATCTTGGGGGGAGCAAAGGATGGGGAAGAGAACGGGACGCCTGTCTTTGTCTGCCCTCCTTCAGGGGGGAGGGCGGCAATGCAGAGCAGCAGGCACTCCCATCGGAGGCAGGCTGGTCACTCCTTCCCACGACCTCCTGAAGGGAGGGAGGGCTGGCTAACAGACATAAGTCGTGGAAGCCAGGGGGTGCTCCGAAAGCAAGGAGGGGCCAGCAGGGACCCCCAATACTGATTCTCCTGTGGCTAGAGGTGGGCGGGGTGGGGGGGTAAGGGGGGGACACAGCTCAAATACTGAGCAGCCAGAAGAAGAAGAAGATGGCGAGGAACAGGAAGAGGGAGTCTTGCCAGCTGGAGACGGGGTGACCCTGTCCCAGATCCACACCTGCAGGAGAAAGGGAAAGTGTCAGGGGTGCGCGTGGAGGTCAGGAGAGGGCTCCGGCAGGGCTCGGGGTGTGTGGGGGGAGCTCTTACCTGCACCCCTCCGGAAAGGCTCGTGGGCATTGAACACGGTGGTAAAAAAGCCAAAGGGGAAGGCGCCAACCCCGAATGAGAAGTGAAAGCCCCCCGGTGTCACCGAACGGCTGGAACCCCTAGGGAGGCAGGGGAGATCAGGGGAATCCGCGGGCTTTGGCGCCCGAGGGACACAGCTGGACATGGGGACTCACCCCTCTGCTCTCCGGAGCTGGTCGCTGGCCCTGAGGGCGGGGTGGAGTTTTCAATCTGAGGAAGGAGAGAGGGGCTCAGCAACCTCTGTCGCTCTGGGGGGGGACGGACGGAGGCTTCAACCTCCCATCCGCACAGCGTCTAGTCTCTCACCTGGGATCCTGGGGCTTCTGGCTCCCGCGCCCGTAAAGAGGGACAACCGTCTCCCTGCTGATGCCAGCTTTGCACACGGGGCATTCTTGCCTGTCTGGCCGGGTCTCCAGCCACTGGAGGGGAAAGACGAGGTGCTTTCGAATGCCAAGAGGGTCTCAGAGCTCCTCAGCCCTCCCCCGACTCTCCTGTTCATCTCACCAATACATACCTGATGAAGACAGGGCCAACTGGATGGAGGAAAAGGAAAACAAAACAAAACAGGTCAAACAACAAAAGAGAGTCACAGACCCCGGGCAACAGAGCAGCTTCACCAATCTGCCCAGGTACTGCCCGCCATACACCGCTGCGTTCCTTTCCATTATTTCTACAGCCTCCAGCACACCTCTGCTAAGCTGATCTTGTCAACTTCTCTCATCTCCAGTACCTAAAGTTCCTCCCCCCCTCCTCAGCACATCTGATCCTCCCGTCTCTCTCTCTCTCTCTCTCTACACACACACACACACACACACACACACACACACACCCCTCATCTCCATGTGGGCTCGGAGTCCCTAGATCGGGCTCTCCTCTGACGAGTGGCACCTCCCCTAACCCCAGAGTCTCTCTCATCTGTTGTCACACCAGCAGCTGGGCAGCTCCGGCGGGGTACTTTGGCCCCGGACCTCACCGGGAGGAATCTGCAGCCTCTCCCAGTGCCCAAGCCGCCTCCTCCTCCTCCTGACAAGACACCTCGTCTGCACAGACGTGATTCCCCCCCAGCGAAGACACCAGGCCTCCCCTGCGTGCGTGCGTGTGTGTGTGTGTGTGTGCCTGGTTGGGGCGGGCAGATGCCCTCGGGTCACCGGAACGACGGGCCCCGCTCCCCCATCACTAAGCGGAGCCTCGCCGCCGCACCCCCCCCCGCGCCCCCGACTCGGATCCTCACCAATACAGGTGGCCGCACACGCTGACCACAGCTTCGCGAGCCGTCTCCAGACAGATATTACATTCGAAGGTCGCGCCCGCCCCGCCCCGCTCGCGGTTTGGCCCTTCGGGGCCCCCGTCCTCTTCCTCCGCTGCTGCCATGGCCGGTGGTGCTTCGCCCCCACGTTCCCCTCAGGACCCCCCAGACACACACACACATATACGCTCACAGGCAGCGCGCGCACACCCACAGCGCGCGCGCGCACAGGCACACGCACACACACACACGCACACACACCAGACCCCCCCCAACAAACCAGGCCCGCCTTCTGCCCACGGTCGTTGGGCAGACTTCAAGGCTTTCTCGTTACTATTGGTCGGGACGCCTGCCAATCACGCAGGAGTCAGAAGACGGGATCGAGCTAAAGGGCGGGGGCGGGAAAAGGGCGGGTGGGAGCCGCCCCAACCGGCCCCCGCACGATGCTGATTGGCTGGTGAAGCTTCAGTCACTATGCGGAGCCGAGGGATTGGTAACAATGCGCTCGGCTAGGGAGGCTTTGATTCGTCCGTGCGGATGCCGGTCACAGCCAAAGCTCTGACGGGATTGGCTCGGGCCGACAGAACGCGCCCACCAGGGAGCCGCTCTCCTGTCCTCCGCTTCCGCTTTCGAAGAACGTCCGGGTTCCCATTGGACTTTGGAGCGCCGGGCTCCGAATCCATCGATTGGCTGGAACGACACGGGACGGGGGGCGTGGCTACGGGGGGAGGAGGGGGGGGAAAAACCGAGCATGCGCCGTAAGCGCGAGCGAGGGGGGTTGCGGTAGCCCGAGTCACCCGCGGGTCCCACCCCCTTCCACTCCATCCCGTCGCCATGGCAACCCCTCCGCCTTTGAGCGGGGGGGAGGGGGCGGCTCGGGTTCAAAGGCCTCATCCGGGTCCTTCGGCGGGGGCTCTTCCCGGCTTGATTGGGCGGTTTGTTTCGCCGCCGATTGGCCGAGACCCCGGAGGAGCCGGTGCTGAGCTCGGGGGGGCGGAGGGGAAACGAGGGCAGAGAGACACCCGGGGTCGCGGGGTTCAAGATGGCTCCGGCCTGCTTGGGTGACGTAGAGGGCAGAGCTTGGGTCCGCCCCGCCCCCTCGGGGAAGCGGGGGCCCGGCCTGGGGCTCGCCCGGCGCGGCGTGGATGGTGCGGCCGTCGGTGAGCGGCGCTGGTGGTAACCCGGCTCCGTCGGTCGGACGGCTCGGCCTCTCTAGGTGATCCTCACGACTGACCCGAGGCCATGTGACACGGAGCGGGGCCCCCGGGGCGGAGGGGGGAAGAGTGTCCCGGTCCCCAGCTCCGTCTCACGTCTAGGAGCAGGGAAAGGGTCGGGTCCCAGCCCAGCCCCTCCGTGAGCGGGCGCCCCGGGGGCTCCAGCCCTTCACCGCCGCCTCCCCACCCACCCCCCGAGGGTGAGCCCGCGCGCGGCGGCGGCGGCGGGATGGAGTAGACCCGCCCCTTCCTTGTCACTTGCCCTGCAGAGGTTTTGTTTGGATCTCTCTGTCTGTCTGTCTGTCTCTCTCTTCTGTCTGTCTCTCTCCTGGCCTGTCTGTCTGTCTGTCTCTCTCTCTCTCTCTTCTGTCTGTCTCCCTCTGTCTCTCTCTCTCCTGGCCTGTCTGTCTGTCTGTCTGTCTCTCTCTCTCTTCTGTCTGTCTCTCTCTTTCCTGGCCGGGCCAGCTCTGGAGAGCTCCTTTCCAACCATCGGTTGACGCACAGTGTGGCCCGAGGCAGTGTGGCCTTAGGTAGCCCGTCCTCCCACTACCAAGGGCTCTTCAAACACCAGGCTGTGTAAACTCATCCAGGGTAAAGGTGTCCCAGGGCGGGAGACAGGAGCGGGCTAAGGACGGTCCAGCCCCCTTGATTAGAAAGAAAAATCGGAGAGAGAGGTGCCCGTGGTGTGACTCAGGGATAAAAGGGAAGGCGAGGGAAGATAAAAAGGAGGCTGGGGCTCAGGACCTGGGGTCGGGGGGACCCGGGAAGCGAGGACCCAGGAGACGGCCAGTGCGGAGGTAGGAGCGGTGGGGTCCGGGCTGCGATTGAGCACCAGGGGACCCGGTCTTCCTGCGGTCCGAAGCCCCCACGCCCGCCACGGCCTGCAGCCCGGGGTCTGCGTTGGCGGCCGAGGAGGACAGTGAGCCCGAGGGTGGGCGGAGGAGCTGGGGAGCCGGGGCAGGGGCTGGAGAGCTAGGCGGGGAGAGACGACGCGAGTCCTGGGCAGCAAGGGGGTGTGGTGACGCTGAGGGCTTGGATTCAGCGGGTGCTTCACAAGCATCGGTCCAGGGGGCCCCGGGGAGGAAGGGGATGCGCGGGGACCCCGGGGTGGCGGAGGGGCCGAGCCTAGCGCTGCTGCGGCCCAAAGACAGGCAGCGGCCCGGGAGCGCGCGGACGAAGCTCAGGGGCCGACGCCGAGGAGAGAGAGCGGAGAAACCAGGGGCACAGGTGCCGAAACCGGCGGGCCGAGCGGTGCAGCCGGCGGCGTCCGTCCCGCGAGCCCGGCTGAGCTCTCCCGGGGCGGGGCCGGGGAGGCCAGGCAGGCGCGTGGGGCGGGGGGGGGTGGGAACGGGGGGGAGGAGGAGATGCTGGGCCTCTGAGGCTGCGATTGGCGAGGCCCGCTGCCCATCATCGCCCCCCACTTCCTGGCCGGCCCCGGAAGCCAGCAGGCGCGGGGAGGGGTGGGGGAGATAGCGGCCGCGGTAGCCCCGGCCCTCAGAGAGCCCGCAGGGAGGGAGGGCGCTGGGGGTCCGGCTGCCCCCTCGCCACTCCTACCGCTATGGGCCCAGCTTCCCACTCCCGCCACCGCTCCAGCGGCCGGGGCTAGGACATCCCCACCTCCCGTCCTGTCGCCCCCCCGTGGCACCGAGACAGAGACCCGGCCGCCGCTGCCGCAGCCTGGCTGGGGAGGGGGCCCGTCCCCCAGGCCCCTCGCCCCGGTGAGGTGCGGGCGGGCACGGGGCGGGGGGCGCCGGAAGGGGCCGGGATGGGCAGAGATGGGGCTGGGAGGGCCGCCGGGGGACGGGGGCCTGGGCGGAAGAATGGGAGCGTCGGCCCGGGGCCCGGGGGTGTGGACGGCGGACGGGGATCCTGCAGGGGGAGGGGTCCCATGAGGGCCCCAGCCCCTGCCCTGCGTCTTGGCCCCGCGTGACTTCGGGGTGTCGGCGAGAAGGCCAGGACAGCTCCCTAGGAACGCCGCCGCCGCCGGGCACCCGTTAGCCGCCGGCCGGCCGGGCGCAGAGCCGCTCCCTCCTCCCTCCCTCCCTCCGCGGCCGCGCTTCCACGTCGGGACGGAGCCCCTCGCCGGCACGCGAGCCAGCGGGCGAGCGGGCGAGCGTGTAGCGGGACGCAGCGTGTCTCCCCGTTGGTTCCCAGTGCCTTTGACAGGTTGAGCCGCTTGGGCTCGGCTGCTCCCCGCGGGCTGTGTGTAGTGTAGGGAAGGACATTTAAACGCCCATCAGAGTGGCCCTCGGACTTCGCGTCCCTGCCTTGTGTCCGGTTTGTGACATGCCCAGTGCCACAACACTTGGCGTGTTGCACGTGTTGGATGTCTGAGTGCTGTATGTTTTTACTTGCCGGCTTTGGCCTGTCTTGTTTGGCCTCTCCGGGGCTCGTCCGTCCACAGTTTTGGAGTGTGCTGGTTGCGGAGTTGCTTCCTGTGCGTGGGATCCCGTGGCTGTCACCACAGACCTACATGCCCTGTGATGTGACATAACCATAGCACCTGCCGTGTATTTCGTAAATTTTTGACAGTGCGATTGGTGTGGGCTATATGCTTGCTAACCTGTTTGACATCATCCCATTATAAATCTTGAAACATTTATGTCGTGAGGTAATTTCTTTGTCAGACCAAGCGTTACACAAGTACTGCTTGTTCTCCAGTTTCCCCGGACATTTTGTTGTTGTTACGTTTCAAGACAGGATTTCTCCATGTGGCCCAGGCTGACCTCAGACCCACAGAGATCCGCCTGCCTCTGCCCCCCGAGCACTGGGACTAGAGGCGAGCGACACCACCGCCCGGCTAAGATTTTTGTTGTTGACGGTTTGACGTAGCCCACCCACACGGGCCTTGAACTTGTGACGGAGCCAGGCTGGTCTGGAACCCTGCCCTGGCACCTTGCATGTGTCACCACACCTGTGCTTTCCTGACCACCTGACGTGTCTCTCCACGCACGTCTCTCCACGCACGTGTCTGTGTCACAGCTTTAATCTGAGTGTCCGGCAGGGGACCACCGTCTGTGCCCACGTTTGCACTCTGGTTCACACTGCGGGCTTCCCGGTGGCCTCGTGGAGATGCATTGCTGTGAGGCTCGTTGCCACCATTTGGGGGAGGTGACTTTTCCCGATTAGTATTCCTTAAGAGGGCAGTTGCCTAGTTTACGGTCAGGGCTGTCAGTACCTGGCCTACAAGTGTACCTCATCGTGGCCCAGCAGAACGAAAGGAGACAAAAACCCTATTGCCTGTTATCAGCTGATCAATTGTGGGCGAGACTGCAGCCTTAAAATCCCTTGGCCAAGATTTACTGAGCCGCCCACTGCACCTGCTTCTGTCTAGCAGCATCCCTATCATGATGTTGCTCGAAGCCTGTGGAGGAGGTGAGCAGGGAAGACGGTGAACTTTTACCCAGAGTGCGTTGTTGCTATCAGTAGTTCTCAAGTCCCTTGCACGGCAGACTTACCTGGGAGGCATGTTAAAACACAGGCTGGCCTGGTGCCCGGGTTCATTATGTCTGGGTGAGGCCCACAAGTTATATTTCTACTCTTTGACAACCACTGATGATCATACAAGGCGTGGTGGCCTACACCTCTAGTCCCAGCACTCAGGAGGTACCGGCAGGAAGATGGTCACCGCCAGTCTGGGGACACTCAGGGCTGTGCTAGAAACTTGTGATGGAATCATGGGCCTGGCTGTCGCACCTGCTGTGCGGCCTGCATCCGAGAATGTAGCGAGGTGGTCGGGATAGATGACACAGAGACCGTTCGGTTGCTTTAAGAAAACTTTATCTTCCCAAGTCAGCTTAGGAGAGAGCTCTCAGGAGAAATCTCAGGAGAAGTCTCTGGAGAAGTCTCTCTAAGAAAAAGGAGCTTCCCTTTTTAAGGACTTTTGTCATCCATTTACATACCATTCTTTCCACTTCTCACCCTCCTGGCTGGTGGTTTAATCTCCGGCCCCAGAATCGGGGAGACACCACAGGGGGCAGGAAGAGGCATCTAGCCATAGGAGGTGTGGAAGGCATGGTATTTCAGTGAGCCAGCCCTATCTGAGCCCTATCAAGCTTTAAAGCACTGAATTGTTTTCAGTAAACAATACATAGATGCCTGCTCCCAGGCCAAAGGGGAAGTGGGTTTCTACTCAAGGTCTGGTGTCCCCACACCTGGCCAGGCTCTGAAAGGCGGGCCCGAGCTGCGAAGCTTGAGGCTAGGACAGGGCCTGCGGGCCACAGTGTGCTCAGTCAGTCAGGGACTGAAGACAGTTCTGGAGGTGGGGTCAGCTTTTTGAGAAAGGCCTTTTGGAGACAGAGAAATGCTGAGATGTAGGTCACAGAAGCCTGTCTGGTGGCCGCAGGAAGAGGCACTGGAGCAGCTCACGACGTCTGGGGGATGGGGTGGGCTCCTGTGTCGTGTGTGTGTGAGTGAGTGTGTGTGTGTCTGTGTCTGTCCCGGCCCTTCCAGTTTTAGGAAGGGAGGGCCTTTGACCTGCCTAGAGACCGAGGCCCAGAACCCCCTCCTTAGGAGCCATGACCCTGCCTCAGGCAATGGGGCAGAGTAGAGGAAAAGGAAGGACGGGGCAGGTTCTTCTCCTGCCTGAGGCTCCTTCTGTCCCAGCAGGTGACTGGAAGTTCCTCCTCCGTTTCTTTGAGACCTGTTGGGTTTGTTTGCCTGTCTGTAGAAGTGCATTGATATGTCATAGAGGACTCCACAGGGGAGAAGAGATTTTTCCAGACCAGTATTCACATTTATCTGCTACTAGGTACAATAGTAAATTTTTTTTTTATGTGTGTGAATGTATTAGCCTTTGTATGCCTGGGATTTTTTAGATCTCTGACATGAGCCTCTTCTTACCGCTTGTTTGAAGTGTATGTGTGTGTCTGCAGTGACAGCTTGTAGAGCTTCTTATCTGCTTGTTGTCTAAAGTGTGTGTGTGTCTGCAGTGACAGCATGTAGCAGGGCTTGGGAGTACCGGGTGTTTGGGTTTCACCCAGAAATCGCTGCTGAGAAGCAGCGTGGGCTCTGGTCAGCCCTTTCCCCTCCGTGAGCCATTTCCTGTGAAACCAATAATGCTAACACTACTTTGTGAACTGCCACATGGACCATACATAGGGTGTAACGTGCTACGTAAAACAGCGCTGACCACCAGAAATAAATCGGAGTCACTCTATAGTTTTAAACTTCTGATAACCACAATAACAAGGGTAAAAGTAGTGAGGTCCATCTTGTTAGTGTATTTAACTGAGGCCAGCGGAGCTGGGGGATCGGTAGACACCAGGTTCAGTGATCGTGCCCTTTCATTGATGGGACATTCTATATGCCTGCTTTTCTCCCAGGCTGGAGTCTGCTGTGCATTTTATATTCCTAAGCCCCTTCTTTCTTTCCATTGGGAGTGGACAGTACAGGTGTAGATGGCCTGTCCAGAGCAGGCCTGTCACTCAGCATGCCGGAGGCAGAGAGGATTGCTGTGAACTAGAGACTCGCCTGGGCTCCAGAGTCCCAGGTCAGCTTGGATTAGAATGAAACTGCCTCAAACAACAATAACAACAAAGAATAGTAATTCCAGCCACAAGTGTCAGCCTGTGCCTTTGCTGTTCCCTTTTCACTGCTTACGGGAGAGTGGTGGATGTCTGGGGCTCTTGTCTGTCTGTACCCAGAGCCCTGGAGCTGCAGTGGACCGCGGCCTCAGGCTGGGCTCCTCCCCGTTCTTGGAGCATCTCCCAGTTTTGCCTGCGTGCCTGTTAACCTGGCTCGTCCTCTCCCCTGCAGGTGACCAGAATGGAGCTGTGGCCCGGGGCCTGGACAGCACTGCTGCTGCTGCTGCTGCTCCTGCTGTCCACCCTGTGGCTCTGCAGCCCCAGTGCCAAGTACCTCTTCAAGATGGCCTTCTACAACGGTTGGATCCTCTTCCTGGCTATCCTCGCAATCCCTCTGTGCGCCGTGCGAGGACGCAACGTGGAGAACATGAAGTAAGGGGCGGCGGGGCTCAGAGCGGCGGGGCTGAGGGGACCCAAGGGCGAGAAGGGGGTGGTAGATTTGCAGGGGAGAAGAACCCAAACACAAGCCCAAAAGCGAGGGTGGGGGAAAGCACAAGGACGCCCCGGGAGTGAGTAGGTAGGCGGGCACGGAGAGGCCGCGCAGAGGCGTGGAGTGGGCGTCAGTGGGTCCCACTGGCCCTGCCGTGACCCCACAGGATCCTGCGTCTGCTGCTGCTCCACATCAAATACCTGTATGGGATCCGCGTGGAGGTGCGGGGAGCTCAGCACTTCCCTCCCGTGCAGCCCTACGTTGTGGTCTCCAACCACCAGAGCTCCCTCGACCTGCTTGGTGAGGCCTCGTCACAAGTCACAGATCCCCGTCCTCTCGCTGAGCCCTCTCTCCCATCCCCCAAACCTGTTTCCCAGAGGCCCTCCAGCCCCCTACTCCTGAATGTCACTCGCTCAGGTCTCCTGTCCCCGGGGTGGGCGTGTACGCCTGTAGTCAGCTTTGTTCTCAGGCCCTCTCCAGCGGTGTGGGCGGTGACCCGGGCTGGGTGTGGTGCTGCTCTGATCCTGCTCATACCCTGACCCGTACCCCACCCTGCCAAGGGATGATGGAGGTGCTGCCAGACCGCTGCGTGCCCATTGCCAAGCGCGAGCTGCTCTGGGCTGGCTCTGCCGGGCTGGCCTGCTGGTTGGCAGGAGTCATCTTCATTGACCGGAAACGCACGGGAGATGCCATCAGTGTCATGTCTGAGGTGGCCCAGACCCTGCTCACTCAGGATGTGAGTCTTCCAGGCATGGGGTTTGGGGGTTAGGAAGTAGATGATGGGAATCGCTGATGATCCGTGCCGGACCCTCCTATGTGTGTCCTTCTGACCTCTCTCCCTCAGTTGAGAGTCTGGGTTTTTCCTGAAGGAACAAGAAACCACAATGGCTCCATGCTGCCCTTCAAACGTGGCGCCTTCCACCTAGCAGTGCAGGCCCAGGTGACACTGCTCTCCAGTCAGCACCCAGACCTCCTCCCTCCTCCTCCTCCTCCTCCTCCTCCTTTCCCCTCCCTCCCTCCCTCCCTCCCCCTCCCTCCCTCCCTCCGAGGCCCCCCCCAGGATCTGTGCACTCACTGGCTTTTCCTCTTCCCAGGTTCCCATTGTCCCCATAGTTATGTCCTCCTATCAAGACTTCTACTGCAAAAAGGAGCGACGCTTCAACACGGGTGAGCGGCTTGAGGGCGCTGAGCAGGTCTGGGGATGGTGTGGCCAGAAAGTTCATGGGAGGCTGAGGAATGTCCCTGAGGCAGGGAGACCTTAGGCCCCACTGGACCTGCCAGGTAGGCAGAACCAGCCTCCTCAAGGGACTGTGACCGCACACGGAAGCCGTGCAGAGGCCTGGGCAGGGTCTGGAGATTCTGTCAGCAGCTGGCGAGCTTACAGGAGACCCACAGGCGTAGCGGGATTGCACTACAGCTGGCTGAGAACCAAGAGTGCGGCCGTGACGCTGTTCCCTGTCCCACCAGGACGATGTCAGGTGCGGGTGCTGCCGCCAGTGCCCACAGAGGGGCTGACACCAAATGACGTCCCCGCTCTGGCAGACAGAGTCCGGCACTCCATGCTCACCATCTTCCGTGAGATCTCCACTGACGGCCTGGGTGGCGGTGACTGTCTGAAAAAGCCTGGGGGAGCGGGCGAGGCCCGGCTCTGAGCTTCCCCACCCTCCCGTCTTCTCCCCACACCTCTGACCCCTCCCGGGTCCCCACTCCCTACTCTCCTTCGGGAATCTTCAACTTGTGAAGTGGATACGGATACAGCGTCACTCACGTCCTTTCCCTGCCCACCGTGGACTCCCCTGCATGGGGACGGTCTCCACTCCGGCCCCACCGCCATCCTGTCTCGTGGGACAGTTGCCGCCCCTCACCTCAAGTGGCTCCTCGGATACAAGGGTGGGGCACATTCCATCCCATCCCTCCCCAGTGGTCTCTTTGTGGCCTTCTCTCCCTCTGCCCCACACTGGACAATGGACTCGTGTGTTCTGTGGAACAATCCATTCCTCACTCCAAGTCCACAGACTGCGTGGGCCCGTCTGCTGGGGAGGACTCCTCATCCTGTGACTGGGAGCCGCACCTGAACACTCCTGACCGGCTCGCCTGGGGAACTTCCTCATCACCCTCGGCGGGGCAGGGCTCTTCTAACTCAGAAGTCTCACCCCTGCCCGTGCCAGGGGCTGAGCACACTCCAGATGCCAATCTCTGTTTCCCCCGCCCCCTTGGCAGAGGTCTTCGGGGTTCTGGCCTGGCAGCAACTACCCAGAGTCTGCAGGGGCGGACCTTTGAAGCTGCCATCTCTGTTCCCTGGGGCCTTAGGGGAAAGAACCTGACCCTGGGGGGAGGGAGGGCGCTTAATTTATTTTTTCTTTCGAGGGACTCCCTCTCTGAGCAGTTTCCATTTCCTCCCAGTGGCATTGGCCACTCCCCTGCCTCCCACTCGAGACCCATTCCTAAGACCCAGGCTGGGGGCAGAAGGAACGGGTGGAATCCGGTTTTGCGTGGTTGGTTTTTATTTGGGTAACAGAAAGCAACTGAGAATAAAGAGAGATCTGGAGATTTTCTGTGGCTCCTTGTGCCTTGCTGGTCAACACCCTCATCTGCCAATCCCAGATAGTGCGGTTTCTGTATAAATTAGGATCCAGGCTGCTGACAGGTTCCTCGTCAACCATGGAGGCGTGGGCCCAGGCTGTTGTCCTCACAGGCGCCTAGTTAACGGCAAAGGGGCAAGATGGCTGTGGTCCGGAGGGGGCAGGTGCGGGGTGAGGACGGTGGGCGGGGTTTCAGGAGGGAGAAGCTGGGTTGACGCTGTGCCTTCGGTTCTGGAGGAGTGGAGGACACTCACAGGCACCCAGCTTTTCCTCAAGCAGCAGCACCTGGTCACTGAGGGACTCGATCCTGTCTCCCCGGCCCCACAGCTCGGCCACCTGTTCGGGCTGCAGCTCTTCAGGCGGCATGGGCAGCACTGCTCGGACCCAGGCCCCAGCCTGTGTGGCCCACTGCAAAGGAAACAGTACCTCAGGATTCCGGCGAGGTCCTGGGGGGTGGCACTCGCACACCCCGCACCCGCCCCTGCCGCTTCCTCCTGCAGGCTCGCCTGCTCCAACCGCTCCAGGCGCTCACGCAGCTCGGCGACCTCCCTCAGGGTTCGCTCCTCACGTTCCGCTTCCCGAACTAGGGTAAAGGAGACTGAGCACGGCCTCCTGGCCTACGGCAGAGACCCAGGCCCGCCCCGCGGGCCTCCCATACCCACCCGCCACACTGAGGACGCTGGCACTCGTAGAGGATTCCAGAGGCCCCGCTGCACAGGTGCGTCCGTCCGGACCCAGAGCCAGCGGGTGCGGGCAGCCGCACGTGTAGCTGCCCAGGGTGTTGAGACAGCCGTGAGAGCAGAGGGTAGGGCTGGCCCTGCATTCATCGATGTCTAGGCACCAGAAAGGGGAGCGGGCTGAAGGGGGCCGGGCGCCACGGTCTGTGGCTGGGTGAGTGGGTGGGGAGAGCCCAGCGCCCGCCCCCGTCGCCCCCCCCCCCCCGTGCCCCATGGCGGGGCGGCCAGCCTAGCTCACCCACGTGGCAGTGCTTCCCTCCCCAGCCTGGGGCACACTCGCACTGGTCCGGTCCAGTGCACACACCTCCGTTAAGGCAAGGCTTGGAGCAGATGGCTGGGGTATATAAGAAAGACCCGGGGACTCAGGGTCTGCCCCCCTCCCCGCAGCACCACCCAGTGCGCCCCGCCCCGCCCCGCCCCCCACAACGGCCTCAAGTGCCAGGCTCACCTTCACAGGTGAGCGCTCCCGGACGCGGCTTCCTCCAGCCCTGGCAGCACACTACGTGCGCCTGCTGGACCTCGCGCCTCACCTCCCGCCAGGCCACGCGGTACGTGGTCCTGGAACGCAGAACCAGGGTTCTGGGTGCCCATCCTGGGGCCTGGCCCTCGGGATCCCTTCTGAGACCCCGGGTCCCACCAGGCTGCGCCTCTCACCTGTAGGTGCTGCACACGCGCACCCCCGCGCACAGCGTCAGGTAGGGCTTGTACACGGGCCGACTGTAGGACTCGTTGTAGCGGAGCGGAACCACCAGGGTCTGGTTGGAGCAGACCCCCAGACTGCAGCCACGCCCAGGGGTGGGGGTGGGAGACACCGTGAGTGCGGCAGAACCCCCCCCCCCCCCCCGCAGCTTGAGTCTCTCCCCACGCAGCGCCCACGGCCCCGGCCTCGTGCCCTCGCTCTGTAAACTTCCAACTTTGTGTTGCCTCCTGCCAAACGTGACCCCCCGGCAAAGACCTCACCCTGGCCCGACCCCATTTGCTGTCACCTTGGTTTGAAAGGTCCTCTTTTGCGCCCCCTCGCCTGCGCCTGCCATCAGTAGCAGGAGGAACCAAAGTCCGACTAGGAAGACGCTCAGCTCAGCCCTGAGCCCCATGGTTCTTCCAGACTCTGTGGGCTGCAGACAAGTCGTTCCTGGATGCTCCTGGCTTCTGTGGGCCCCCTCTCTCGCCTGGACCCTCCTAAAACAATCTACTGAGGTCAGGGCATTAAGTCTCCTGAATGAGAGCCACTCACCCAAGTCTGTATCAAGAGGCCTGTTCATTGAATCGGACATGGTCTGACCTTAGCACATCATGGTCTGCTCAGCCAGGCTCGCCCTACCCCAGAGCTCCCGGCCAGCCCCCCCACACAACCCTTCTTAGTGTGCTTCCTTGGAGCCTCACCTTCAAAAACAGCAGGCACCCTGCACCTTACACATGAACCCAAGCACATCAAACCCATTCCTGCCACGACTCTCCGACACCGTCACTGGCACCCCAGACACACACCCTCCACGCGGGAACCTCCCTCCCGGCTCGCACTCATCCCTGCCCTTCCCGCCACTGACTTCCTTTCCCCTCGTGCCAGCCATGCGCTCTCCACCTGTTTTCCTGTCGTCGGGGGAGACTGAAGCCACACCAGCGGGCAACCCAGCAGCAGCCGCTCACACTGGCGGCTGGGCCTCTCCGGCTTCCACGGCAAAGGGGCTGGGCCAGAGAGCAGCCTCCTACCCTGCCCCCTCCCACAAGACTCCCTGCCTCAGGCCCCTTCTCCTCAGCCAAGAGCTGCATAGAAGGACGTACAAAACCTTTGAAGGCCCCCCAAATCAGAAGTTCCTGGCAGGCAGCACCCCACGCCCCTCCCACCTACAGACTGCGGGAGAAATGTGAGGGCGGGGAGAAGGGGTTAGAGGCAAGAAAGGCCAGGTCACGGCCAAACTGGCCAGACCAGCCGAGAAAAGGCAGCAGTCACAGACGGGCAGGGGTGCCCAAGCCACCAGGGGAAAACTGCCTCCATCCCTTGATGGCATTTATTGGGGGTTGGGGGACACCACCCCCAAGCCAGGAACAGACAGAGCTGTATTGTCCGAGTCCAAATTCCTCCTCCCAGGCAAAGGGAGACTCACTGTATAGCTCCGTCACCAAGCCCTGGCCTACAAAGGTCAAGGGGCCTGACACATGCCCACCCTGACCCTCAGCACCCCCTCGTCTGGGCCAGGGGTGGCGGGCCTATTCTGCCCATGACGCCCGAGGCCCAAACCGCCAGAGCCTGGGGCTCAGCCCCGACCCCGGGCTGGGACAGGAAGAGAATTGTCCCCAGCAGGAAAGAACCCAGGGAGTCAGGAACCTAAACAGAATGGGCATTGAGAGGACGGAAGCGCCAAGGGGGTCCCCACCCCACACCCAGGCATTCTGCACACCCAGGTCCCAGGCTTTCTGTCCCCGCCCAGGTCCCCTTCACCTGGGAATAAGCCAAGCCACCCTGAGCAAATGGAACTTTATTTCTATAAATACAGGGAACACCCAATCAAGGGTCCTGAAAAGAAGGGCTGGGGCCTCAAAGGACCTAGGCTCCCAGGGGACACCCCAATACTGATCATAGGGACTGGGGGATCCCCAAACCTGAGATGGGCCTTGCAGGCCACAGATATTCCCCAACACTGACACTTCAAAAGTGGAACTGTCCCCATAGGGGAACCTCAGAACCCCTCCTACGGGTGTCCCTCTTGGTGGGGACAGGAGGTTGAGAAAAACGGAGCACGGACAACAGAAGCTAAAAATGTCCTGAGTGGCCTGGAAAGAGACCCCTGGGGTGGGCAGGGGCTGGGTTCTCCTCCGGTACAAGCCAGACCCGGAGGAGCAGCAGCAGTGGTGAAGCCAGTTAAAAAAAAAACCCGGTGCTCGCTTCCCAACCAACCTCAGCCGTGGGAGAAAGGGAGAGCATGGGGACACCCCCAGATGAGGACGTGAGGTAGGGGACCAGGGCCCGTCATTCACGGAGGAGAAGGAGGAGGAGGACTCGGGGAGCCCTGGCGGGGTGGGGCAGTGTGGGAGCGATGAGGTGGGCACAGGCTTGCCAGAGCCTGGCATCTGCTTCCCAAGGCCACCACTTGGTCTCTGGGCTGGGGGGGCTCCCGAGGACGTCTTCAGGAGAGCCACGGCTCGATGCAAGTATCATAGAGCGTGCGGTTGGAGTGCCAGGTGGTGTGAGAGATCCCAGCCATTGGACACCGCACTATGGCCCCCCGGGTCAAGAGAGTCTTCAACCCAAAGGAGTCTCGCAGATAAACCTTCAAGGAGGTGGAGGGGCGAGGAAACACGGGGGTGGGGGTGTGTGTGACAAAGTGAGGTACTCCTGCTGCACCACCCCCGCCCGCACCCCCCCACCTTGGCCCCATGAGGCAGACCCTTCAGCTCAGGGGGTTCAGAGGCAGAAAGAGTCCAGAACGAGGCAGGGCAATGGAGAGAGGAAGAGTTGTTCCAGAGGCTTACCGGCTGCTCCTCCATCTCCAAGACGGTCTCGTTGGCATCATAGAAACCGAAAAAGCTACAGAGAGAATTGCAGGATGTCAGGAGAGCCAGGAAAACTATAATGTGTGCTAGTGTCCCATTGAGACTCAAAGCCCTCGGGGAAAGAGGACAGCATGGAGGACATCAAAGTGGGCACGATGACACACTTGAGAAGCGAAGGCAATGTTTGGAGTGTTCAAGGCCAGCTTCAGCTACATAGCATGTTCAAGGCCAGAGACCCTGCCTCAAACAACAACAAAAAACTAACAACAGCCGGGCGTTGGTGGCACACGCCTTTAATCCCGGCACTGGGGAGGCAGAGACAGGAGGATCTCTCTGAGTTCGAGGCCAGCCTGGTCTACAGTGCTAGTTCCAGGACAGCCTCCAAAACAACAGAGAAACCCTGTCTCGATGAAAAAAACTTCCTGAGTTAATTCAGCGGCTAAGAGCACTGGCTACTTTCCCAGAGGACTCAGGGTTCAATTCCCAGAACAACATGGTGGCTCACAACCATCTACATGCCAGCCCACTGTATACATAATGAATCTTTAAAAAAAAAATCACAACTTCTGCCTACCCATCCATCTGCTATCTATCTTTCCACCTGGCGCTGAGAATTGAACCCAGGAGCCCAGTGTGCTGGCAGGGACAGGACTTTAACCCCAGCACTCAAGAGACAGAAGCAGGAAGATCTGACAGTTCAAGGTGAGTCTTGTCAGGGCTACCCAAGGAAACCCTGTCTCCAGAAACAAACAGAATGATCAAACCTAGGACTTCAGCGTGCTAGCCAAATACTCTGAGCTACACCCCCTCGGCTCACCGTTACCCATTAGCTTATCATTTCTGAGTAGTCTCAGTTGGTAGCCAGGCTGGCCATAAACACAGCAACTACCCCTCTGCCTCTGCCAGGGGTGACAGTTTGTCACAAGAAGAAATAGTTCAGGGGCCTGGCGCTGGCCCACAAGGTTCAAGGCGACCATACCCAGCTACCTCATCCCCTCCTCCTGCTCTCTCCACAGCCTTCCCCTATCCTCCTGGGGCTCTGCTAGGCTCCCAGGGCACGAGCCTTCCCTTACTACCCCAGGCTTGCTCAGATGACAGCTCCTTCCAGGACACTTCCCTGACCACGGGCTACATCAGGCCCCTGTCACCGCCATAGTGTTTCTAACTCCGTGTATAAAGAACACGGCGTTGGACTTCTTTTGCCAATGCTTCCCCAGGGCCCAGAACGGCACCTGAGCACACATAACAAGTGTTCAGTAAGTATTTGTGGAGTAAATTTCAGGTGACACTCCCCAGATCAACTCCTCACGACACACCAGAGGCAGGTGTGCGGGGCTGTGGCGCCATCAGCTTTCCTGAGGAGTAAGACAGGGGTTGAGGTAGACACTCTCACCGGGCCTGGCCCAAAAAGTGGCCGGAACCTCACTCTCACATGTAGTGATGGCAGTGCCCTGACTTTGGCTTTCTGTTTTTTTCTATTTGTTTTCTAAGACAGGGTGTCTTCTACAGAGTTCCTGGTTGTCCTGGAACTCACTTTGTAGACCAGGGGGCCTTGAACTCAAGAGATCCACCCGCCTCTGCCTCCTAAATTCTGGGATTAAAGGCGTATGCCACCACACCTAGCTGTCTGAGTCTGACACTGTGTTCTACTTACTTAGAACAAAGCCCCAGGTAAAATCCAGAACTGCACCCATCTCTGCAGCCTCCTAAGAATCCATGACTACTTCACAAGTGTGTGTGTATGAATGCTCCTGTGTGGTTTCTGGAACAGGGTCTCATGTAACCCAGGCTGACCTCATATTCACTAAGGAGTATCTTCTTTTTTTTTTCTTTTTTTTTTTTTTTTGTTTTGTTTTTCGAGACAAGGTTTCTCTGTATTGTTTTGGAATCTGTCCTGGAACTCGCTCGGTAGACCAGGCTGGCCTCAAACTCAGATCTGCTTGGCTCTGCCTCCTGGGCGCTGGGATTAAAGGTGTGCACCACCAATACCCGGCATCAAAAGACTTTTTATACAGTTTTTGTTTGTTGGTGGTGATGGTGGTTTTTTGTTTTTGTTTTGTGACACAGGGTTTCAAACAAACTGCTCTGGATGGTCTGAAACAGAGACCCACCTGTCTCTGCCTCCTGAGTTCTGGAATTAAATTCAACCGTTTTTTTGTGTGTTTTGTCCAGATTCATCCTGAACTGGGCTCAAGTAATCTACTTGCCTCAGACTCAAACATTTCTACAGAGTCAAGTACACAGAGCACATCCCTGGATCCAATCGATACCCAGCAAGTATGCAGGGTACTTGCCTAGCGTGCTTTAAGTCCCTAGATCTGATACCCAGCACCACCAACAAGAAAGGGAGACGTGGATGTGGTGATAATGCCTGCCACTTAGTAGGCAAAGGCAAGAGGTCAAGCCTGGGCTACACATTGGGCCCACCTCTAAAAGGACATCTATTGTATGCGGGGGACACTACCAGGCCAGGTCTTGTTACCTAGATTGCCACGGAGTGATGACTCCATCATCAGGACCCCCAATCAGCACCAGGCGGCCCACTCGGAGGAAGTTCTTCCGCCATGCTGGAGAGATGGGGAGAGATGGGGTCAGTCACAGGGCTCAGGACAGGTGCTGAAGAGGGACCCAGGTGGGATCGGGACCTCACCTGTGGCGTTGGGATGGTCTCTCTCCCCGTTGATGAGGGCCAGGAAGCTGCTGGCGTTGAGGTACAAGTCATCGTGGTGAGGATCTGAGTGCAAACGGCAGGCAGTTAGGGAGACAGCCAGAAGGAAGAAGGGAGCCGGGCGTTGGTGGCGCATGCCTTTAATCCCAGCACTCGGGAGGCAGAGGCAGGCAAATCTCTGTGAGTTCGAGGCCAGCCTGGTCTACAAGAGCGAGTTCCAGGACAGCCTCCAAAGTCACAGAGAAACCCTGTCTCGAAAAACCAAAAAAAACAAAAAACAAAAAACAAAAGAGACACAAAGGGAAGGAAGAGTGGATGTTTAGCCAGAAGACTACAGTAATAGTGAAGATTAGGGCTGGAGAGGTGACTCACTGGGCAAGACATCTCTCACTGCTCTACTGAAGGTCCTGAGTTCAATTCCCAGCACCTACATGGCAACTCCCAACCATCTGATGCCCTCTTCTGGCAGTCAGATGTATATGCAGAGTGCCCATATACATAAAATACATGAATGAATAAACCTAATAGTGAATTTAGACATCCAGCCATAACAGAAGAGTAAAAAAAAAAAAAAACAGGCCAGGCGGTGGTGGCGCACACCTTTAATCCCAGCACTCGGGAGGCAGAGGCAGGTGGATCGCTGTGAGTTCGAGGCCGGGCTGGACCGACAGCCTCCAAAACAATACAGAGAAACCCTGTCTCGTAAAAAACAAAAAACAAACAAAAAAAACCAAACAAAAAACAAAAAATGGCCAATATGATCAAAGGCACTGTTTGTGATCCTCTGTTGTTTGGTTTTTGAGATCAGGTGTATTTTAGTCCTGGCTATCCTGGAACTCCTATATAATTCAGGTTGGTTTTCCAACTTTTTTTTTTTTTTTTTTTTTTGGCTTTTCGAGACAAGGTCTCTTTGTGGCTTTGGAGCCTGTCCTGGAAATAGCTCTTGTAGACCAAGCTGGCCTCGAACTCACAAGAGATCCGCCTGCCTCTGCCTCCCGGGCACCGGGATTAAAGGTGTGAGCCAGCAACACTGGGCTGGTTTTCAAACTTAAAAGAGATCCGCCTGCCTCTGATGGGTTTAGAGGGGTGTGCCAGCACCACCCTGCCCCCCCACCCCTTCCCCGAAGGCACTTTTACCTGGTGCCCTGTATGAGCCAGGGATTGGTAAACGGTAACTATCTGCTCTGGTTAAAGGTAGAGGTGGACACAGCAGGCCTCGCCCCCCCACGGCATCTCCCCCCATCCCCCACCTACCGTGCCAATAGTTACAGATGGAGAACTCTTGGCCCCAAGGGCTGTAGCAGATCCGATAGAGGTTAGATCGCATGGACGTAGGGAAGAGCCACTTCAAGTAGTCTGTGTCTGGGGGAAAGAATTTGGCAGTGCCAAGTGGGCCCCCAACCCTCTGTGCCCCAGACGCGGGTGCCTCCTCCGGAACCCCCCACTCACCTCCATACTGTCCCATCTGCGGGGAGGAGAGGGAGATGAAAGAGTCCACGTTGTGCTCATCGGTGACGGACAGCAAAGCGCGGCACACCAGGCCCCCTGGAGGCAGAGCACCCACGGTTGGAAGAGGCCTGAGGGGCAGGCACCTTGGTGGCCCTCGCCTCCGGCCTCTCAAAACACTGAACTTTCGAAAGAATCGCCGCCGGGATCCAAGACTCAGGACACACACAAACACACACCCTGCACCCGGGATCCAAGACTCAACACACACACACACACACACACACGCGCGCGCGCGCGCGCGCGCCGAGATAAGCGTCTGGGCCTCTGACCAACTGACTGATTAGGCTTTACAGCCGCTCTCCAAACACTTTACTCCAAGAACCATGGAAAAATGAGGAGGATGGAGGGAAGCCTCCCTCCCGTCCAGGACGCACGGGAGGAGGGACCGATGGCGGCGCGTCGGGGCGCCATTTACTAGGCTTCTGACCAGGGCTATGCCGTTCAGAAAAGCGAAGGCAGGAAAGCATGCGGGAGACACGGGGTTGAGCTCGGGCACGGGCTTGGGATTCGGGTGTGTGTTGCCTTACCCTGGGAGTAGCAGATGAGGTGCACCCCTTCGGGGGCCTTTTTCATGATGGGGACCACGGCCTCCCGGAACCCCTGCACCTGCTCCCACAGGGGCCGCAAGCTCTCTCTGCCGTCGAAGAGATCAAGCACTGTCACCACAGTCCCGGGGTGCGTCTGTGGGAAGGGGGCAATACTGCCACTGGGGTTGAACGATGGAGGCCAGGTGCATTCACTGTGCTTGCTGGAACCAGGAGCAACCCCCACCCCCAGATCGCCCCCACCCCCCCCACCATGCTACTAGTTAGCGGTACCCCTCGAGGGGAGGTCGTCTTCCAGCTGCCCACGCTTCCTCCCCTGCCCCTAGGGCTCCAACAAACACCCTCCTCCCGGCGGGCGGCCCCGGGACAGACCTCATTGATGTAGTCCAGCAGGTGGCGGAAGCTGTAGGAACTGTCAAAGAGCCCGTGCACCACGATCACGGGCTTGTAGGGACCGCGGTGGGGTGCGGGGGCTGCGGGCATCAGCAGCCGCAGGAACGGCAGGAGGAGCAAAGCCCACGCCGAAGGGAGCCTCGGCCTCCACAGGTCCGGCATGCTCCCACCTGGGAAGGAACGAGGGGGCTGTGAGGGCTGCGGGTTCCCCCTCCCCGCTCTGCCTACCAACAGACTCCCCAGCAAGCGACCCTCCGGCCTCTCCGCTGCTACAACCAGGTCCTTGCGGCGAGAGCCTACTTTTTACCTAACTGCAGCTGGCTCGGGCGCAAACACGCACACCCCTACCACCACCTCGTTGCTTGCACCAAGGCTAGCCCTAAGTCCCGCCCCCCAATTTGGTGCTCCGGGGACTTGGTCCCTAGGCCCCAGGATCTTCCCTTAAGTGTCACCTCGGCCATGCACAACTCCGGGTTCAGCAGGAGCCCGGGAGCAGCAGCAGCAGCCCAGGCCCCACGAAGCGGGGTTGCTCCCACCTGGCCTGGGTCTGGAGGCTTCGCTCCGCCTGCTGTTTACTTGTACCCAGTCTGGGATCCACCGGGGTAGGAGGGAAAGGGGGGGACCAGGGGAGCGCGCAGGGGGATGACGGATTGGATGGGGCGGGGAGGGGGTGCTCGGGGTCGCGGGAAGTCGTCACGTCCGGGGCTTTCCCTGACAACAGCCGGAGCGTCCCCTGCAACGCGGACGGAGGACCGGAGGGGCAATGGAACATTCCATTGCACCCAGGGAGCTGGGGGAGGGACCGGGCGGAGCGATCCATTCAGCCGGAAGGGGAGAGGCAACGGCAAAGATGAGCTGGTGTCTCTGGAGAAGGCTCTCCAAGAGCCACCCAAAGGGTGCGACTTCCCCCTCCTCGATGCGCCCCACTTTGCAACCCAGGCTGTCCCGCTTTGCAGCAAGCAGAGCCCGGATTTCTAGTCCCAAGGAAGTGGGGTGTGGGGGGGTTAGGCTATCTTGGCGTCTAGCAGTACGCCTGCGAGCAGGCAGGCCAGCGAACCCGGCCGACCGTAGCCAAGCCGGAGCGGAGCTCGCCCCTCTTCCCGCTCCGGCCCGTCCTCCCGCCCCGGATCAGTTCCTTACAACTAACTCTTCACTTTGAAGTGCGTGTCGTGCCCTTGTCTCCGGAGACGCCGAGAGTCCTTCAGGCCCCTCGAGTGAAGTGCAGCCTGGCCCAGTTTCTCCGGCCCTACTTATATCTCTGCGTGCACGACCCACCTTTCCATGGGCGTAGGGCCCCGGGGGCGTGCAAGGACTCACCAGCGGATTTCCACCAGTCTTTCAACCCTGCTCCTCGGATCCCTGCGGGCTGCTGGCGACACAGACCCTGCTACTGCAGCCAGACTTCCGCGCTGCGGGCGCTGGCATCACTCTGGCTTTACCCGTGACCCCTGCACACGCCCCAGTGCCCGGGGATGTGGCCTTTACCCTGTCACGGCTTTTAACTCAGCAGTTAAATAAGCTTCCAGGCCTCCTGAACATGCCCGAGCCTGGACTCGGGGTCTTTGCTCAATGTAAACTCGACTCTCAATAAAACCAGCAGCGGGGACTGAAGCCGGTGTGGGAGGGACGGATCCCGGGTTCTCTCTGATCCATCCACGCCTGAAAAACCAGAACCACCGGTATGAGGCCGTGATGTAAAAATTTCTCAGACAGGACCTTGGTACCTGCTCAAGCCAGGACCTGGGACTGCTTTCCGGGACGCCACCAGAGCGTCCCTGTCTTAGGGCAAAGTGCCTCAGGCGAGGGTTGGGAAATTCTAAAAGGGGAGGACATTTCTCATTCCCCGGCTAGGTTTCTGCAAAAGGCCCAAACTGGTGTAATCTCTGCAGACTGCCTAATCCTCACCCCACCTTCCCACCCACGCCCTTCCAAGACACAAGAAGCAAATAAAAGACTCTGAAGTCTCCACTCCTCCTTGGGCGGGAGGAGGGGAGGCCGGGGGCTGCTGCAGGGAATGAGTATGAATGCCCGGCCGACCCAAGAACTCTCCAGCCCCCACAAGCACGACTTTTCAAAACCTGCCTGTCGCAAATAAGCAATTACACGTCGCTTCCCTCGGCTAAAGCATTTCAGCTCCTTAACCCCGGAGTAGAAGGTACCTGTGTACCCCCGCCTCCCCCGGGCGCTTCAAATTACAGACCCGGGGCTTCCTTGACCTCACCGCCTCGAGGACAGGCCCAGGCTGTATATCTGGGGGGTGGGACTTTTCAGTCTCTGCTGGTTCCCAGCTTTGTACAGTTTCCTCACACACCTGGTTCATGTCTCTTAGCTGGAGAAGCCTCGAGCTATCTTGCAAGGGGGTTCTGAGGGGGAACTGGGGAAAGAACCCCCTGGGTGAGCAGGGTCTGGGTTGCACAGGGTCCGGTGACAAAGCTGGGGGGGGTGAATCCATTGAACCGGCTTCCCGCGATGCGATCCCTACAGCGGGGTCTTTGACGGAAAGAGACTTCCAGAGAGTTCTCCCTCCCTCCTTCATTCTCTCAGTCCCACCCGCCTCGCCTGGTCTTGCCTCCCGGTTTCCATGACAACTCCAAGGGAGCCTAAACTGGGGGCTTGAATGCCAGGGTGAGAGGAGGAAAGAGGAGGGGTCCTAGAGCAGAGAGAGAACGGCTGGGGGGGGACTCTGAAGCTCTCCCCCTCCCTGGCCCCGGTCCCTTTAAGCTCCCCCCCCTTGCCACTCTCTCCCTCTGCCCGCCCCCCTCCCCGACACAGTCTCCATCTCTCCATCTCTGCGCGCTGCTGCCGCCTGTGCCGCCGCCTGTGCCGCCGCCGGCTGCGCCATCCCGGACCCAGACTCCTGCCCCAGCCAGGGGAGTGGGGGTCCCTGACTCCAGCTTCAGAGACCCTGTCCCAGCGACTGCAAACATGTCATCGGAAAAGTCAGGTAAAGGGGGGAAAATGCCAACAACCCCACCACCACGCAACCCTCCCCCATTGCCTCGTGTCTAACCCCTAAGACTTGCCCTGACCCCCTCCTGTGACACTCTCCCGGGGTCCTGTGTGGCTCAGGACCATCCCCCCACTCATGCCCCACCCCCTCCTCTTTCTCTGTCTCCCCCTTCTCTTCCTGTCTTTGGGTCAGTCTGCCTCTGTGCCATGATCAACAACACGGCGGGGGGGGTGAGCCGGCAGGCTGAAAAGGAGAGGAAGGCACAGCCAGGTACTGCGGGGACATCACCCCCGAGGAGTGGCAGATGGACAATCGCTGCTTCACTGGCACGGAAACACGCAGTGGAGAAATAACGGCGCCTCGATCAGATGGGGGGAAGGGGGGAGAGACTGTCAGGGAAGTAAAATCTAGGAGACTTTTTCTTTTTTCTTTTTTTTCTTTTTTGAGACAAGATTTTGCTATGTGGCCCAGGCTGGCCGTGAACTCCCTAGTTGCTAACCCTCCTGCCTCTGCCTCCCCCAGTACTAGGGTTAGAGGCACAGAACCACCCAGGACACTCTGTGTGTGTGTGTGTGTGTGTGTGTGTGTGTGTGTGTGTGTACCCTGACAGCCATGATGAGGCTTTCTCCACTGAAGGAAACGTGGAAATGTCACCCACATAAAAAAAACGGTCAGGCCGAGAGCACGCGTGTAGAGGGTTAGTTCGGAAGGGGCAGCTCTGGGTGACGCGCAGCGGGAGGAGCTGGGGGAAGAGTTGAGCCAGTTGTGATGCCGAGAAAGTAGATTTGAGGGCAGGTGGCCCTAGATGCAACCCCCTCCCTGACCCCCAAAGCGGGAGATGTCATCCCAGCTGTCCTCTGCCTCGCTGTCTCGCCTTCTCTGACTGTCTCTCGTTTCCTCCCCGCTTCTGATCTCTGCTGTCTTTCCTCTCCCCTCCCTCGTCCTCTCCTCCGCTTCCCCCCTCCCCGGACCACCACCACCCCACCCCGCCGTGGCCCAGGCCTTCCAGACTCGGTTCCCCACACTTCCCCGCCGCCCTACAATGCCCCCCAGCCTCCGGCCGAGCCACCCATCCCGCCCCCACAAGCGGCCCCTTCCTCGCAGCACCACCACCACCACCACCACTACCACCAGTCTGGCACGGCCACCCTCCCGCGCTTAGGGGCAGGGGGTCTGGCCTCGGCTGGCGCCCAGCGTGGCCCCTCGTCCTCCGCCACGCTACCGCGGCCCCCCCACCATGCCCCGCCCGGTCCCGGAGCTGGGGCCCCCCCGCCCGGCTGTGCTACCTTACCCCGCATGCCACCCGACCCTTACCTGCAGGAGACTCGCTTCGAGGGCCCGCTCCCCCCGCCCCCGCCGGCGGCCGCCGCCCCGCCCCCGCCGGCGCCAGCCCCGACGGCCCAAGCCCCGGGTTTCGTGGTGCCCACGCACGCGGGGGCGGTAGGCACGCTGCCGCTGGGGGGCTACGTGGCGCCGGGCTACCCGCTGCAGCTGCAGCCCTGCACTGCCTATGTTCCGGTGTACCCGGTGGGCACGGTGAGTGCGGGGCTGACGGGACCTTAGGAGAGGGAGGCGGGTGCGGCGGGGGGGGCGGGGGGCGGGGGGGAGCGCACTAGAATCGGAACGGCCCCGGTGTTTCGGTAAGGAGCCCCTAGACAGGAAGAGTGGAGCGGGAAGGGGTTGTGCGTGGGAAGGTGGTGGACCTGGTGTGTAGTGATTGGTGGTGTCTTGGGGGGTCAAAGGCCAAGACTTGGGGGGTTTGGGGTTCAAAAGTCAAGAGGTCTGAAAGAAGGAAGAAGGGAGAACCTGGGGTAGCCATGGGGTAGGAGAGGGCACAGCCTGAGCTTCGGGATGCCAGGGAGCACGGGGGGCGAGACCTGGAGTGCAGACCAGACCCGTACCTTGTGAGACACACCGTGTGTGTGTGTGTGTGTGCTTGCGAACTTGCACGCACATGGGGCCCGGTGAAAAAAAAACTAGGGGGGCCTAGGCCGATGTCACTATCAGGAAGGATGGGGAGTTAATCTCCCCCCCCCTCCTTTAAGAGTCGTGGTCCGTAGAAACCTCTCCTGCCAAGTGGCCAGCCGCTGGCGAGCAGAGTGTGGGCCTGACGTCCCTTCCCCTTCACCCCACCCACTGTCCTTCCCACAGCCCTACGCAGGCGGGACCCCCGGGGGGCCGGGAGTGACCTCCACTCTGCCCCCGCCGCCCCAGGCTCCAGGGCTGGCTCTGTTGGAGCCCAGGCGCCCGCCCCACGACTACATGCCCATCGCTGTGCTGACCACCATCTGCTGCTTCTGGCCCACGGGCATCATCGCCATCTTCAAGGCTGTGCAGGTGTGTGTGTGTGTGGAGGGGGGCGAAGGAAAAGCTTAGGCTGACCCAGGGCGCGGTGGGATGGTGGTGGTGAGCGGTGACTCTCTGACACCCCCCCCCCCCGCGCTTCCCGCGTCCCTCCCCGGTAGGTGCGCACGGCCCTGGCGCGCGGAGACATGGTGTCCGCCGAGATCGCTTCGCGCGAGGCCCGGAACTTCTCTTTCATCTCCCTGGCGGTGGGCATTGCAGCCATGGTGCTCTGCACCATCCTCACCGTAGTCATCATCATCGCCGCCCAGCACCATGAAAATTACTGGGATCCCTAAACACGGCCCCCACTCCGTGCCCCCCCCCGACCCACCCCAACCTCCCCGGCGCGCGCCCCGCGCACATCCTTCCCTCCCCGCCGCGGCGCCGCTGGACCTGCGGGCATCATGGACTCCGCCCCCACGGATCCTCCGGCCCGGCCAGGGCGCTCGGAATCCAAAGCCCACCTCCCCAGCGGCGCTGGAACCCGTGCCAAGCCCTGAGCCCACTTCCCACCCCCATCAAAGTGCAGTGCGGGCGGGAGAGAGGGGGGTGCGCGGAGCTCGCCTGGTCTCCACCCCCCGTACGAGTCAGCTCCGCCCCTCTCCATAGGCTCCGCCCCAACTCCCACAAACCCCGCCTCCAGGCCGGCAGGCTCCGCCTTCTTTTCTTCCTAGGGGCGCAGTGTTTGAGTCTGTTGACCCGGGCTTGTGAATTCAGGCCCAACCCCACAGACGGATGGACTCTTCCCCCCCCAACCCCTCTAGAAAGGACTCAGCCCTGGGAGAGCCGCAGCCCCACTTTGGCTCGGATTTCTGCCAGTGCAGGGGTTTTTCTCCTCCACCCTGGTCTCTCTTGCCTATTTTCTTGCTAATCCCAGAACTCCCGGATCTGTTGCTTTGGAGTGAGATGTGGGGCCGTTTCTGGTTTTTTTGTTTGTTTGTTTGTTTTTGTTTTTTTTAGTGCCCCTCACCCTGGAAAAACCACCAAGTCCCTGCAGTGTAAATACTCTTTCTACCTGTGCCAACCCCCGGGGTCGGAAGGACTAAGGACGGGACGGGAGTCTGTGCTCCCCCTCTCCCCTCAGCCCTAGCCCTGTTTCGATCTGTGCGTGCGTGTGCGTGTGTGAACTTCCGAAGGACGGTATTAAAGACACTTTAGTGGGTTTACCACCCGCGGTTCCGAAGACCACAGCTCAGAGACACCTTGGCCTTCTGTTCACTTTTCATCTATGCCCCCTAAACCCCCCAACCCGCCACCACCCCGCGGTGTGCGGTGGAGCTGTTTCCCATGACAGCAGAGAAAAGAGGGGGTCCCTAGCTAGGCTTGCTGTACCTCTGTAGCCCTAGCGTCTGGGCAATGGGGGAAGAGTCGGGAGTTCAAAACCACACTGTACCATTCTGGGCTGTGTTCAACCCCATCTCAAAAAGACAGAGGGAGCCGGGCGTTGGTGGAGCACGCCTTTAATCCCAGCACTCCGGAGGCAGAGGCAGGCGGATCTCTGTGAGTTCGAGGCCAGCCTGGTCTACCAAGCGAGTTCCAGGACAGCCTCCAAAACAATACAGAGAAACCCTGTCTCGAGAAACAAAAAACAAAACAAAAAAAAAACCAGGACAGAGGGAGCCGTACTGAGAAGACCTGGCATCTATCCTCAATGGGGTTCCCATTCCTGCTTTCACACCCCCCTGTAGACTGGGCATAGGGCTTCTTCCGGGGAAGGGAGACTTCCAGAAGACAAGGGGAAGAAGACCACAGTGAAGTTAGTTGTTCCGGGCTGGGGTGACAGGAGCAGGGGACCGAACACCACAGTGTTCCTGGCCTGGGGCTAGACAACTTGCACCAGAGTCCCATGTGAAGGCAGGCTCAGGCAGGGAGCAGAGAGCTGGGGGACCCTGGCAAGAGGGTTAGCCGAGCCTCTGTACCCGGCTAATCACCCTAGCTAACCCTAAGCCTGTAGCAAGGCCTCTGTGAGGGGGGAGACAGCATTGAGTGTGCCTGTGGTTTCACTGTCCATAAGGCATGACCATGGCACACCGGCCCGTGAGATACGCTCAGACCAGGCCCGTGACCCAGAACCCAGACAGAGAACCTTGCACTGAGGCAGGTTGGAGGGTCGGGATGCGAGCCGCGGGTTCCCACCGGGATATTTCCTAATGACAGTTCTCCCCTTAAAGATCTATTTCTCTCTCTCTCTCTCTCTCTCTCTCTCTCTCTCTCTCTCTCTCTCTCTCTCTCTCTCTCTCTGTGTGTGTGTGTGTGTGTGTGTGTGTGGTGTTTGCTCTTGAGTGTGCACAAGAATGTGTGCCCGTGCTTACAAAGGCCCTGGCACCCACTGCAGCTGGGGTCACAGGTGGCCGGGTGGCTGTGAACCACCTGCTGTGGGTACCAGGGGACCTGAACCCAGGTCCTCTGAAAGAGCAGCAAGATAACCCCTGAGCAGCCTCCACCATGGCTCTTGAAGCATTTCAGACCTGCGCATTTCCCTCCTCGTCTCCCCGCACCCCCCCATCGGCTTTCCTCTCTCGGGGAGTTGGAAAGTATGGCTGTCTTTCAATCCCCCTTTCCGGCCTCCTTGAAATGCACTTCCGTTCCTTACACTGCCAGAATCCCCAATAGCCAGTGATTGCGCTGCACAAAACAGTGTCTTCAAAATACCCTGCTTCTCCCAGCCCCCGTCCTGCCCAGTCCTGCCCGTCCGCCTGCCCACCCCCCACCCATCATCCGTTTACTTATTTCCAGACTGTGCCAGTTAAACTTAAAACTCACAGTGTACCTGAAGATAACCTTCGACTCCTGAGGTACTTCCGCCTTGCAAGTGGCTGGGATTACCCTGGGCAATCGTCACACCTCAGGCACACCTCTCTCTGGGCTGGGAACCTCCCTGTACCTCCCGGCTCAGTGGCATTGTCCCCTCCCTTTATCTCTCTCCCTTCCCCAGGAGTCTGTCTCTAGACTTTTTCTTCTTTTTTTTTTGTTTTGTTTTGTTTTGGTTTTGGTTTTTACGAGACAGAGTTTCTCTGTATTGTTTTCGAGGCTGTCGGTCCAGCCCAGCCTCGAACTCACAGAGATCCGCCTGCCTCTGCTTCCCGAGTGTGGGATTAAAGGCCTGCGCCACCACCGCCCGGCTTATTTTTTCTTCTTTGAGGCTTTGAAGTCTCCTCCACTCACTGGGTGGGTGGAAGCACAAGATTTTAATCCCAGCATCCCGGAAAAACAAGGAAGGAAGGAAGGAAGAAGGGAGGGAGGGAGGAAGGAAGGAAGGCAGGAGGAAGGAAGGAAGGCAGGAGGAAGGAAGGCAGGAAGGAAGAAGGAAGGAAGGAGGAAGGCAGGAATCAGTCTCATCCGCTCAGCACAGCCGTCACCTCTATCCATCCACCCATCCTTGGATACAGAGGTCAGTGTGTAGCGTGGGCTTCCTTCAAACATGCAATCATGCTGCCTCCACCACACACATGTTCTAGGGTTACAGGCCTCTACTAGCCAGTCAGGGATTCTGCTTATTCTTTTTCTGTTGTTTTTTTGTTTGTTTGTTTGTTTGTTTTTTGTTTTGCTTTGATTTGGTTTTGGCTTTTCGAGACAGGGTTTCTCTGTGGCTTTGGAGGCTGTCCTGGAACTCGCTCTGTAGACCAGGCTGGTCTCCAACTCACAGAGATCCACCTGCCTCTGCCTCCCGAGTGCTGGGATTAAAGGCGTGCGCCACCAACGCCTGGCCAGTTTGGGGGCTTTTTTGTTTGGCTGCTAGTGGATTTTTGGGGGGGATGGGTTTTCTCTGTGTGTGTGTGTGTGTGTGTGTGTGTGTGTGTGTGTGTGTGTGTGTGTGTGTTTTGTAGTTACTGTTTTGCTTGAAACATGTAGTCCTGGCTGTCCTGAAACTTGCTCTTGTAGACCAGGCTGGCCTTGAACTCAGAGATCTGCCTGCCTCTGCCTCCTGAGTGCTGGGGGGGTTAAAGGTATGCGCCTCCAGGACAGACATGTCCATTCTTTTCAGAGATGGGTACTGCACCCAGCTTTTCATGCACTAAGCAAACACTTCACCACTGAGCCACACATCCCAAGCACTGACCCAACACCTTTCCAACATAATACCTCATCCACAGACCTTCCTCCAGGCGCTGGCTGTGTTCTTTCACAGACGGGCACCATGCCAACTGGTAGCCTGTCCAAAGGAACACAGCCAGTTGTAAGAGCAAGGACCATGTCACTGGGCCTCTTAATTTGCTTTGTTCTAAGCCAACTTGGAGGAATGCTACAACACCGTGGTCCCTTAGCTCCTTGGAGGAATGCTATCACACCGTGCTCCCTTAGCTCCTTGGAGGAATGCTACCACACCGTGCTCCCTTAGCTCCTTGGAGAAATGCTATCACACCGTGCTCCCTTAGCTCCTTGGAGGAATGCTATCACACCGTGCTCCCTTAGCTCCTTGGAGGAATGCTACCACACCGTGCTCCCTTAGCTCCTTGGAGGAATGCTACCACACCGTGCTCCCTTAGCTCCTTGGAGGAATGCTACCACACCGTGCTCCCTTAGCTCCTTTGATGACAGCCATTCTTCCTCATCCATCTCTTGCCCGTTGTTGAGCTGAGTCAGACTTTACTACACCTCTTCCCCAGCCCTTGCCAGTGTCACCTACCTCAAGCAGCTTCCCCAAAAGGTCTCCCTACCTCCACCTACTCTTAAGTCTCCCTCAGCGCCGCCGTTAGGCTATTCTCTCCAGTCCTGCTTCTTACATAGCTCCACAGCTCAAAAGTCTTCAGGAAGTTAGTCAGGGAGCCGGGCGTTGGTTGTGCAACCTTATTTAGCCCCAGCACTCAGGAGGCAGAGGCAGGGGGATCTCTGTGAGCCCCCGCACACACGCAGGTCGGTCTCATCTACACAGTGAGTTTCAGGGAAGCCAGGACAACAACATCAAAAAGCTAGAAAGCTAGTCAGGAAACCACTGCCCAGATGGGAAGATTGCTTGGTCTGAACTGACCAGTGTCGCTGTCCGGGTGTCTCTGTCTGAGCTGAGCAGTAAGCCCAAGACCTCACAATACTAGTCCAGTGCTCTGACCAAGCCCCACCCTAGCCAAAGAGGTGGAGAGAGAAATAAAAGGATTTCAGAAACCAGGTCTGTTATTTTCTACCTTCTGGGAAGGCTGAGGCAAGAGCATCACGGGTGAAGAGGCCCGCCCCGCACGGTGGGGCATGCCTTGAGTCCCAGCGCTCGGGAGGACAGGCGGGCAAAGGTCAAGGCATCTGGGGGCTGCTGAGAGAGCTCAGGGGAGAAAAGCATCCACCTAGCAAGCCCAACTACCTGAGTCTGATCCTTGGGATCTCTATATGTTTTGTTTTGTTTTTTTCATTTTTCGAGACAGGGTTTCTCTGTATTGCTTTGGAGGCCGTCCTGGAACTCGCTCTGTAGACCAGGTTGGCCTCGAACTCACAGAGATCCGCCTGCCTCTGCCTCCCCAGTGCTGGGATTAAAGGCGTGCGCCACCAACGCCTGGCTCTCTTTATTTTTTTAAAAGCTGGATGTAATGGGGCTGGAGAGATGGCTCAGTGGTTAAGAGCACTGACTGCTCTTCCAGAGGACCTGAGTTCAATTCCCTCTTCTGGCCTGCAGGGTTACATGCAGGCATAATACTGGGTACATAACAAATAAATCTTAAGAAACAACAACAAAAACAGAAAAAAAACTGCGTGTAAGCCGGGCAGGTGGTGGCGCACATTTCTGATCCATCCCAGCACTCAGGAGGCAGAGGCAGGCAGATCTCTGTGAGTTCAAGGTCAGCCTGGCCCACAGAGCGAGTTCCAGGACATCAAGGTGTACACAGAGAAACCCTGTCTGGAAAAAGCAAACAAACAAAAAAAAGATGGATGAAGCCGGGCTTTGGTGGAGCACGCCTTTAATCCCAGCACTCGGGAGGCAGAGGCAGGCGGATCTCTGTGAGTTCGAGGCCAGTCTGGTCTACAGAGCGAGTGCCAGGACAGCCTCCAAAGCCACAGAGAACCCCCCCAAAAAAAGAAAAAAAAAAACAACTGGATGGAGTGATGCCCATCTGTAATCCCAGGACTGTTATTTCAGGACAGGGAAGGGGAGACGGAGTAATCCGGAAGTTTTCAGGCCAGCTAGCCAGTAACATGCAAGCACAGCAAACCCAAGAGAGAGACAGACCCCGCTTCCAAGCTCCCCTGACACACACACAC